CTAGTCGTTTGAGTTCTAGCCTCTCTGCAAGGTCTGGTTCAGTGCCACGAGTGCGTGCGAGAAGTGTACCGGCAGCCAACTCCCCTTCTGCACACCGTCCCGGAGCAGACTTGAGGCCTTTAGCCTCTGCGGGCCAGACTCCGACAGCACAGGCTGCGCACCAGACGCAGTACTTCAGTTTGAGCTTCACACTAGGCGGGAAAACCCCAGCCTGGGAGCTGGAGGGAGCAGAAGCGGCCGGTGGACTCCTCTGCCTCAGGAGAGGGCTTGGCCTTGGACTTGACGGCCATCCTTGGGCCAGCTGCCTGGGCCGGGACTTTTGCTGGCTTCTCCTTGCCCTTTCGAGCCTCCTTCTCCTTTCCCCGGGGCGACCTAGAGCGAGAGGAAGAGTAGTAGGAGTACGAGGCAGCATTGTCTTCTTCCACCTCCTTTCCCTTTCGCCCGCCACGGCTCCTGCCCGGTGGTGGGTGTCGTGGTCTGCTCTGGCTCAGCCGGCAAGGGACGCGACCACCTGTAGTACTGGCCGGCCGCCCGTTGCTTTTTCCCCGCCCGGCGCTGGGAGTACCCTTTGAGCTCTTCGACCTGTGCTTTTTGCCAGTTTCGGTGTCCTGGCTTCCTTTGCCACCCTTGCTGCGCTCAGCCGGGTTGTGGGGCTGGCTTTTCCCTCGCTGCGGCCCCTGTCTGGGCCCCTTTCCCTAGCCGGTTCTCTGCCCCTGAATTGCTCGGCTGGGCTGGCCTTCTCCATGCTGGCTACCCAACTGTGAACCAAACGGCTGCGGAGAGAAAAGAGAGAGACCGCAAGGCAGGAACCCAGGGGCCAGGCGCATTGCGCCTACAAGGGGGGAGGTTTGGGCGCCCCAAAGTGCAGTTTTGCCTGCTTGGGACCGCCCGTACCCTTGGAGTTTTACTCCGTTTGCCCTGCTTGGGGGCTGGGTTGATTGGACGGGAGCCCAAGCCTTGTAAGGGCAAAAGGAGACCGGGGCAGTTCGGGATGGGAACCCGTAGAACCGCCCTCTTGACCTACCACCGGGCTGGGAGTGGCTTCCAAGGTGTCCCCACAGCCGGCCTGGGCGTCTGGTGCCGCCGGGGCTGGTGGGTTTCTGGGGCCTGGGACAGCTTGACCTTGCCTTTGCTGAAGAGAACAGGGAGGCGATGTCCCTTGATCCGGGAGCCTGCTCCTTTTTGGGTTTCGCCCCTTGGTGCTGGCTTTGGCCTTGTTGTGAGTCCTTTTGCACCCAGTACACCTCCAAATGGTACCTTCGAAAACCATGTGGTGGGTCGGGTGGCATTTCCAGAAGCTGAGGAAGATCTCTGGAGAGCAGTGCCCGACACAGGGTTGGGCCAGTATCCTCCGGAGCTGCTGTTCAGGAGAAATCTGCTGGGCACCCAGCTTGCAGGTAGTACAGCTGATGCGTGCCCCATTTTGGTGCTCAGAGGTCCACTTCCAAGTGTGCCCAAGCTGGGGATTTAGAACGGCTTCACGAAGGAGGTCCCTCTTGTTGGGCTTGCCGCTCTGGCTTGGGGTTTTGGCAGGCTCGGGTCGGATAACCTTGCCTTTCCGTTTGAAACCGGATGCTCTGCCCTTGTGGTTCTGGGAGCTGGCCTCTCCTTCGAACTGGACCTGAGGACCCTGGTCCTGATCATATTCAAAAAGGGTTGCCACACGGGCAGCCAGGAACCCAAGAACCACTTTGGCATCGGCATCTCTGGCCTCAAGCCTGCCCTCCCAGAGCCGGTCGCGGGACTGGTTGGCATGGTCACCAGCGAGCTTGTCCACAGCATGGTTGGCGTGCCACCTCCAGGCGGAATGGCTTCCGAATGACTGGCAATGAGATTCCAGGGATTTGTGACTGCGAATCCAATGGAGGTGGAGCCGATCAGCCTGCGCTCGGACTGGGTATACCAGGTCCAGCGAGGTTCGGCCAAGTGAGCGCCTTTCAACGCGAGTTTTGACGCTCTTGGCATCCATCGTGACGTCAATGTCACCGGCCGTGTGCTCGACAAGAAAGAGGAGGGCACAGGCCTCCGCTCGGAAAACAAACTGTTCCTCCGGAACGGGGCCCGCTGCCGAGGCGACAACCTCAATGCCATCAGGCTTAATTTTGAAAGCGATGGCTGCCCAGGTGAGTTTCCAGGCGCGAGGGTCATTGGTGGAACCGGGCGAGCCGTCAGTGGCATAGAAGATGTCCGGGTCTTCCAGGATAAGGCTTTCTTTCCAAAGGCCCTCAGTGACCAAGGGGTGGTCCGAGGACAAGGGCTGGTCTGAAGGCACCAAGCCCCGTATCTTCACAGCTTGATCGACCCTGCCCAAGGCTTGTGCCACCTGCTCAAAGCAGGTGTTGCTGGGTGGCAGGTGCATTGCACCTCGTACACCAGGCCTTTTTTCCACATCTGTCTTAGCCAAGAAAGCAGCAGCCCAGCTGGAGCTTGCCGCAGGCAAGGTGACCAAGTACTCCAAAAGATTGGTGGAGAAGCAGGGGGAAATGTTGACACTTGCAGACAAGCTGCGGTTTGCTTTGGGTATAGAGCGAGAAGAGAGATCAACAAGCAGTGAAAAGTCTGGTGGTAGCTGATTCCCAGATTTCCAGACTCAGAGTCTCAGAGTCTCCAAGAGACACTGAGATTCTTCGAGTCCCAGAATTTCCGAGTCCCAGAGTCCTGAGTCCCTGAGATTGAATCCGAACATTGCATAAACCGGAGATTGTTTCTGTGCTCAGGGCTGTTTGCTTGGATGTTCTGGAGACTCTGTGTTGACACCGACCGAGTGCAGTGACAGATCGCTTGTTGCGCAAGAAACAAGAGATGCTGCCTTTGCATTGCCTTCACACTCCCACCCCCATTGAACGTTGAACCTTATGTAATTCCATCACTTAGCCAGGCGCTGCCCCTTTCAGTCTGCAGCTCCTAGGACAAGTTGGCGGAGGCATGACGATTGCTGCTGGGAGTTGGCAAATAGATTTCAGTCAATGCGAGCTTCTTTAGCATATGATGCTTCAGCTTTGGGAAATCCTAGGCTGCAATAAAGTTTGACAGGCCTCAGCAAATTCACCAGCCACCCAGAGCCTGAAACCCTGAGAAGCCCAAGCCTGAATCTAGGTTCGCACTAGCCAATTCTCGTATTCTTTGTCTCAGTATCTTTGTGGTTTTCTTTCTCTTTCGCTCACATACATAAAGACCCAATGTTCCCGTATGGATACCTACTTATCGAATTGTCCGGTAATCAAAACAGGGATGCTATCAGAAATCCAGCCATATTTGCGTTGACTATGGGACAGTAGTACAAGATCTCGATGTATGTATGTATGTATGTATGTGTGTGCATGTGTATGCATGGGTAGGCATGTGTATGCATGTGTATGCATGTGTATGCATGTAAGCAGGTATGTATATGTACCTCGTAAATCGAGCTGACTTCTAGTATCAGAGCTACACACACTGATGGCCACAGGTGTTTTCTTCTTGGGTCTCAGGCTTGGTTGGGTTTTCAAGCTTTTGAAGCTGCTGCTGTAGCTGTCGGGTTTCGAAGTTTAGATAGAATTTCAGTGTTCAGAATCCTAAACTTTCGAACTGGTTTTTCAAGCTTCAAACTTTAGGGCTTCAGGCGTTTGCTGCCAAAGGAAGGAATTTTTAAAGGTTAGGGTTTCAGGGCTTCGGGTTTCAAGGTTAATTATTGTATTGATGCACGACTAGCCATGGCGGTTACTACGCCAAGTCCAGCCACAAGTGCTGGCCGTAGCTGCCGGTCTCCGCCTTGACACATGCATGGTTGCCTGATCCTGAACTGAATGTGGCTTGACAGCATGGTAATTGGTGTGTGTATATATATATATATAATGCGTGCAGTCATTCATGTCATTGTACATATATATATATATGTATATATATATATATATATTTATATATATATATATATGTATATATATATATATAGACATGCGACGTACCCAGGCCTACCCGAATACTATTGAAATCAACCGCTTGGGCTAGGAAGCTATATGAGTTTAATTGAGTTACTCTGAATCACAAAGAACGGAAGATCTGGCTGTGCATGCAGAGTATGGAATATACCTAGAACTCCTACATTGGCATCAGGGTTTGAGGGTTGAATTTATGCTAAAGTAAAGATACACACTGGTGGCCGCATGTGATGTTGTTCGGTCTATCTATTTAGAGTACTAGTTAGCAAACATCACGCGCGGCATAGTGTGAATCTTTCAAATAAGAGCGACTAAATGGCTAATAAACTACGTTGCACTCTTTGTTCTGCACAGGCAACCCAGCAACTTGATTAAAAAAACTCAGCAGCAACATAGACAAGCTTCAGACAAAGAAAAACTAGACAAAAGGAGCCAGAAGTTACTGCGTAGTAAGTGGTGGACAGCTAAGTGCCCATAATTAGGGACTGCTGAGATTCACCCTGGCTACTTGATTTGAATAGGCAGAAGCACATAAACAAGGCTACTACTTTATTCGAGTCAGCTAGGGCTAGGGTTTTTGTTTTTGAAGTAGGTAGGCCGCATCTCAGAACTTTTCGTGAGTTCCGGAAAATGTGTAACTTTACTATTAGTCCGAGCAAACAATGGTGTCTGTCTATAGACTAGAGTTTGGGGTTTCACTCCTGCTTTAGTGGCTTCGAATCCCGATCCGGAGTGATGGCAGTTGTCGTTTTCTCCTAAGCTTCCTGCTAAGCACGAGTTTCCTAGAAACTGCAAACTGGGAGACCAGCAGGTGTGGACGCACAGCTGCAGCTCTTCAGTCTGGATCTCAGACTCAGTCAGCTGACAGAGTGCATGAAGCAGGATGATTCATCTGCACCGAAGTGAAGCCTCCACTTGTTAGATCAAGTCTCGTGAAGCTTTGAAATTTAGATTGATGTGACTGTGTAACTCCTTGCATCATTTCGGATCGGGGTCGCCATCAAAGACTGAGTCCCGGAGTCCCTGAGTCCCTGACTCTGAGTCCCTGACTCTGAGTCCCTGACTCTGAGTCTGAGAGTCAGCATGCTGTCGAAGGAACAGCAGATGGTCATTGGCAAGATCATCCCTTGGCTGAACGACTTTTTCGGAGGCTCCGGCGATCCTGAACAAGCTGATGCAGTGGAGATCTGCACTCGGCTCAGTAACTTTCATGCGGTCACTCCACTTGGTTGATAAACGATAACACAGCAAACACTTTGAATTTGTTTTGAGGTGATTTCCTGATCGCAAACTTCGGCACAGACACGCAAAGCTTGAAGAACATGTTCCTGGCTGTGCAGAAAAGGCTGCATGGCATGGATGCCCCGTGGGTCTTCAGAGTGCCAACCGCCGATGATCGAGTACCACTGGTCGAACAGGATGTGACGCAGCAGCTCGTGCTCATGCCATGGCATTTAAGTTTTCGGCCAGAACATTCTCAGAAGGGCAAGAGCAAAATGCTGAATGTCATCCGGTGCGCCGCTGACTTTCTAGAAAAACCCTATGATAGCTTGACAAATCCGATTCAACTCTGGCTTCCTCCAGGGCTGCCTGCTGCCGGAGAACCTCTGCCGGATTTCGCCCTCGGCCATTCGATCGGCTTCACAAAGAGCTTAGCGATCAAGGCGATCCTCTTTGCAGTCCACAAGATGAAGGACCTATCAGACGAGGATGTGAAGCACATTCTGCCACAGCTGCAGGCCTTGTACAACTTTCGCTGCACATGCCACACGACAGGCAGCATCAAGTTTGACAGGTTCCGGTCCCTGCAGGACAAGTTCGCAGAAGCAGCTCGACCAAGGCCAGATCCCATTCAGGTTTCGACATTGCTCATGGCACAAGCGAAAGAGGAAGGTCTTGCATGGACTGAATGTGCAAGTCTCATGATCGACGAGTTCAATGGTGGCTCGAGCAACGAGGCCAAGAAGCTTTCAGAGCTGGAGACCAGCATAGTCGTCATCTATCCCACCCTCGACTTGGACACCCAGCAGCTCATCGACTACCACTGGCAGCTGTATGCACCCAAACAGTCTGCCATTCCTTACAAGGCCTTGGCGACCAGTGCGTTTTTCCAAGGCAGGTTGTGCTCTCGTTTCATAAATCTATCATCAATCATGTGAACCACTGCCGGCTGTGCTGTTTGTTTTGTTTCTTGGAGGCATGGCTCCGAAGAGCAGCATGAAGTCTGACCTTTGGGTGCAAATCCTCAAGGCAGACAATCGCAAGAGGTACTGGTTCGTGAGGCGGAAGGTGCAGTACTTTCTCTTCAAGCTGCAAGATGCCAAGCGGTGGAAGAAGAAGGTCAACTTGGCCACAGGAGCAGCAAATTATCGAGACCCAAAAGAAGCAGACGCGGCTTGGGGTATGTCGGCTCTCTTCGCACACTTCCACTCAGAGTTTCAGAGGGTGCTGACCTCTATGCAGCTGCAGCAGCTCGAAACCAAGTTTGCACGAGGCTACCTGGACGTCGAGCTCTTCGAAAAGTTCCGTGTCATGAACCCACAGTTGAAGGTGGAGAACTTCAGATTTCTGGCAGATGTCGGCGCGAAGGCAGGGAATTTGCAGGAAAACACAACCGTCTTTTCCAGTGACCTCTGCACCCACTCATCCCATGCCCTAAAACGCCAGCTCCCGTGATCCTCTCAGGTCGCTTGCGGAGTCCCGGAGTCCCAGATCTCAGAGTCCGACGCTGACCTCGATGTGCAGAAGGCAGAGCTTGCAAGAGCGATTGCCAAAGTCACCAAGGAGGTGGCCGGGTGGTCCAGCTACCAGGAGAAGAAATCCGACTTCATTCGGAGTGCGAAAGGTCTCGCAGCAGAAGCCCAGGACGAGCAAAAGGCTTTGCAGAAGCAGGCCGTGGAGAAGTGGCAGGAAAACCGGTATCCGATTCGGGACTTGCACGAGGCCTCCCACGCCATCACATTTGCTGAAACCTGTGTTCGCAAGTTCCAGGATGAGCAGAGCATTCCTGATTGCAACATGTTCAAGGTCTTCTGGATGAACCCAAGTGTGCTTGGCTACGACTCCTACAGCGGTATGCAAGCTGCTATCGCAACCTACGCTCCCAGACTGTGATGATCATCGCGGCGCCGACTTGTGGTAACTGGGGTAACGACCTTCAACTGCATGGTAGCTTGCTGACATGATCTCTCCACACTTGTTGTCTTACCTGCTCTCCCTGCAAACAAGGAATACATCGAGGCCAATGTCGGGGAGGCCACACAGAAGATCTCCGAGTGTGTGTCCCAGCCGGAGAACCGACTTCTCGTTCGCGAGGTCCTGATGTGCTTCGACCAGAGCAGCATCCCGGCGCAATCCAAAAGGCCGGGCTTCCACAAGTTCTTTGTTGCCCTCTCTGACCAGTGCGACAAGGAGGGCCGCTTGATCTCGGAGTTTTCAAGGTCGGCGCTTTGGAAACGGCAGATGCTTCCAGTGACTGTGAAGAACTCCGTGACGCCGATTCCCATGTTGGCCCAGAAAGACATGGTTGACCCGCGCCGAGGTTTCAGCCAAGTTGGTGTTGTTGCAGACGGTGCCAGCAAGCCGTCTCGACGCAAGCAGTGGATTGCAGGATTCAACATTCCGGCAGCGTTCCACGATGCTCTGTGGCAGGGTCTCACACTTCAACAGCCGTCAGGTGTTTCTTGGGTGGATGTGTTCGCCTACGACCACTCTGTGGCCGAAGCATTGATGAGACGTGCTGCAAGTCCAGCTGTTCCCGCCCCACAAGCAATCCATGTTGGTGTCGTCTGGGCTGACTCGAACAGTCGAGACGACAAACACACAGAGAAGGGGGCTGCGATTGACTCGAGAAAAGAGAACGCAAAGATCTCACGCTGGCTACAGTCGTCCATCCGCCGAAAGTTGCAGCACCTCGCACAGGACAAGGTCATCTCAATTCCGGACTGGAAGCCACTCGTGTCTTTCAAGGACATGCGGGAAGTACCCGCCGTTCAGGAGAAGGATTTCGTGGCCACCTTCCCGGGAGTAGCGGACACCATCCCTTTCAAGGCCACCTACCAGGAGCAGATGGACAAGAAGCTTAGCAACCCTGATCTCCGAGAAGTGGGACCGCTTCGCCAAGGATCACAACGAATGCTACAACAAGAGCGGAAAGCCGCACCAGGGTGAGAAGCGTTCCGCTGACGAGGCGGCCGGGCCACCGAAAAAGAAGGCGAAACTCCTGAGTTCAGAGGCCCAGAACCCAGAGTCCTTGACCGTGGAGCAGATGAAGGAGAAGGAAGGGCCGGTGGTGGAGATTGACCAGAAGACCTACAAGGTTTTCTTCACGTCCAAGGGTTCCATTTGGATCCAGACCACGTGCGAGGTGGAGCTGGACGACACCAGTCCTCTGGCCCTGACTTTTGGCAAGTTCAAGATCAATGAGGCACGCACCATTTGCAGCGTCCGATGCGCACATCATGCGTGCAGTTTTGTGCTTTGCGCACACATGTCTAGACAAGCCCACTGCTGCAACAGGAAGCGGAGGCGGCTCTCAAGGAGGACAAGCTGGAGATGATGGACATTGGTTTCGGCAGCGACGAGGACATGTGTGGAGCTCGCAAGCTTTCAGACAACAAGCCGGAAATCTCGCCGTTGATGACACTTCGCTCACATTTGCAGTTGATGGAAGACAAGAAAATGGATGTCACCAGCATCGAGTTTGCCTGTCACAAATTGAAGCCGAAGGTTGCGAAGGACTGTGCATAGTTCCTTCTCTATTCTTTTTCCCTCAACTTTGCTCGACCCAAACAAACTCCGTGAAAAGCAGCACAGGACTCAGCTGGCGATGCTCAGGATCGTGTTTTCGAGGTGAAGAAGTGCGATCCTTGTGTCTTCGTCCCTCAGCCGACCCCGCGCAAGATGACGAACAAGAAAGCCCAGCCTGATTGGGACGACGTGGGCAGCATTGCCCTCACCTCACCCGACACCAAGGCAGCCTGGAACCTGAAGGATGGCAGCCATGCCGAGGGCTTGGTTTTTTTGAAGCAGCGCTGGGTTTTGATGGACAACGACCAAGGCCTCAGTTTCAACCCAGAGAAACCTGGGATTTATTTCACAGGGCCTGTCAAGATTGAGTCCAAGAAGCTGGTCCGTGTAGCTTGATTTGCAGGCATCAAGGGCTTGCTTGTTTCTAGCACATCTAGTGCATCAGGCCTGAACCAGAGTCTCTGGGTCCCTTGTTGTGAGACAATCATGCTGAGCACCGTGCCGAACTCACCCCTGAGTCCCAGAGGTCTGAGTTCTTGAGTCCCTGAGTCTCCGAAAGGGAGCAAGAGATGATGCGAGCTTGTGTGTGTTCTGGTGTGAACAAATGTAAATCAGCTGTGCAAGCAGGTGCCTGTCATGTCTGCATGTGTTTTGCTGGCATCTTGATCATTCCTCATGTGTTTTCTGGCACCAGCTTGCCTTCTGACACTATCTCTTTGAATCGCAGCCAAGGGTTCAGGACCCCGGACTCAGAGTCACAGAGTCACAGAGTCACAGACTCAGAGTCACCGATCATGGCCCCTCGTGCGTTGACGCAGAACGACTCGGTCGGCTCTGAGGACTGGTATGATTCTTGTCAGCAGAAGCAGCCCGCTGTTTTTGACGAGAAGCCCTCACTGCCGGTGTGGTCAAGATCTCCGAAGAGAGGACTTCAGACCCAGGAGAGCATGGCTGAAAAGAGGCAGAGAGTCGATGCGAGTGCGTGGAAAGACTGGACGAAGCCAACCCCTGGGCGTGAGGAGTTGAAGGCAGACAAGACAACACCCAAGAAGCCGACGGAGAAGAATTTTCAGCAGCAGCAGCAGATGTTGCTCAACAAGCAAGCCATCGCAGCCTCAGTAGCTGCCCAAAAAGCCGCTCAAGCTGCCGAAGCTTCCATCAAGCTGGCTTCGTTTGCCACCCAGCAAGTGGACAAAGCCAAGACCGCGCAAAGCCAATCTGCTCTCAAGAAGCAGCCTCCTACGACACCTCCGAAGCCTCACCAGCCCAGTTCCACTGCAGCATCCAATGGCCATGATGGCGAGGACAAGCCTGTCGCCGAGGACGAGAAGCAGGCTGCTACTGATGAGAATACCAGCGGTGCTAAGAAGGGCAACCTCGGCAAAGGTCAGGAGTCGGCTGGCAATAAGCCAGCTAAGCTGACGCCGAACGACTCGACGTCGGAACCCCTCACCTTTGGAGGGCGCAAAATTCCTAACGGCAACGATGCTGCGGAGGTGTTCAATCTCAAGAAGAAGCTCTTCTACGAGACACGTGAAGAGCTGCAGAAGAAGTTCCCGGGCAAGTCGATCACGAGCGGTGCCACAGGGAGCCAGGATAGCTACTGCAAGCACGTCAAGGACCACATGGACAAGGTGAAGAAGCACAAGCAGGGCAAAGAGGCAGCACGGCTATGGAAGGAGAAGCTCAGCAAGAACATTGACAAAAGCAAAGCCTGAGATGTGTGGGTCTTGCAGGGCCGAGTCACCGAGTCCCTAAGTCACAGAGTCCTCGACTCTGAGTCTCTGAGATTTGTCCGTGGGTTTCAAAGAAGAAGCCAGTTCTTCACAGGTTTTCAGTGTCAGCAACCCATGAGGCGACACTGAGGTCGAATTCTGAGGAATGCGGCCGCTTTTGCTTTGCCAAGGCACGGAGCAGAGTCCAGTTAGCCCTTTCAAAGTCTCTGGTGCCGAGTTCCGATAGTCCTTGAGTCGCACATTGTCTGGGGGTGTTGACAAAGAGGATGACGTCTTCTTAGCTCACTGCACATATAACATACATGATATGCTTCAGAGACTATTTGTTGCTGTGATCATGTGATCATGTGTTGAATCCTATTCCACAACCTTTGTGGCTCCAGCAGGGCAGCAGTCATGAGGCCCAGCTGGCTTGAACCAGCGCCTGGGGGCTCTGAAAGTCGGCGGGCAAGTAGGGACTACTCATGGCTGAACATGTCTCCTGCGGGATCTGGCGCTGAGGGATCTGTGCACCGACCAAGTTGGCTGACACCCTCTCACACTGGCTCTGGGTCGTCTTCGCCCCCCAGGAAGAGGGTCGCGTTACAGAGTCGCAGAGCGCAAAGTCCCAAAGCACAGACTCCCAGAGAGCAGATGAACCTGGACATCTGCATCCCAGAGTTCTCAGCTTCGGACAGAACGGCCTGACAGACCAAACTGGACCACACCGTGCCCGGATCGCAGCTTTACTCCAGCCAACTGCAAGGCAACAGAAGATAACGCAGCCATGCCGGAGGTTCATCTCACCATTGCTTCAGCACTTTTGGCTGCTGGTGATCAAGACCTCTCAGCCTCCGACAGAACAGACTGCAACAAATCCCGTCTCAAAGAGCTTCTTGATAGCCCATGCTCCTTTGGTCGGTGCCGATCGGGTCACTGCAGTGTGTGTGAGCCTGGCTTGAAGCTCGAGGATGTTTTGGCTTTCCGTCGAGTTTATGATGGCATGGGCTCAGCAAGGCGGGCTGCATTCCTGAAGAGGTCTTATGGAGATGCCAAAGCTGGCAACAGTCGCTGCAAGTGGATCTTCCTTGAAAAACGGTGTTGTGAGAGACAGCTGTTTGCTTTACTCGAGATATCGGCCAGCACACTTGGCAAGCTTTGCAAGGGCCATTGCTTCGATGGCCGTGTCACCAACGGACGGATGGTGACTGAAGCTGGTATGTCGGTGGATCAGTTCTTCTTGGAGATGTATCATTCTGCAGCAGAGTTTCTCCCAGAGGATGACACATGCCATATGGAGAATGTTGATTGGACTGTGCAGCAGGAAGAGTTGCAAGAATCCCAAGCACCGGATCTGGGCCGGGATGATGAAGATCTGGCACCAATGTTGGGATGGGACCCTGAGAAGTCTTGGCTACACACAGCCATTGCATCAGCCGCTGATGCAGACTTGCCCAAGCGGTATGTGCAGCATAAAAAGCCAATCAATATTTGGTGGCTTTACTTGGCATGGCGCCTAGTCAGAGTCCCAGAGTCCCAGAGTGCAGACTCAGAGTCCAGAGCGGCCTGTTGGAGCACATTCTGGCAGCGGTGGAGCAAGAGTGCCTTGGTTAAGAAGGTTATTGTCATTTGCAGAGGGACTATGTTTCGTGTCGCTCAGGATGGTGCCACTGCATTGGCTTGCGCAAGCCGACACAACATGCTCAGTGCAACGATTGCAGCAAGTTTTCCAACCTACTTCACTTCGGCGATGCTTCTGTTGCAGAAAAGAAAGCGGCGGCGAAGGCTTGGCAGGATCACCTCAAAGCACAATATGTCGACCGTGTCATATACTGGCACTTGAGGTGGTACAGCAAGGTGCCTGGATCAAACATCCTCTGCATAATCCTGGATGGCATGGACAAGAGTAAGGGTAGCTGGCCACAACTTCCGTTCCGGAAGCCGAAGAACCTGGAGAAGTTCCACAGACCCCGTTTGACCATTCACCTGGCATTGGCCCATGGATTTTGTGCTGATTTCTATCTCGCTGATGACGAGAACTTCTTTCACGGTGCCTCTTTCTTTTGCGAGATTCTCACGAGGACTTTGGCCCGTGTACAGGAAGCTTGCAGGCAGCAAGGAAGATCCATGCCTGATCATCTCGTTATCCAAAGTGATAACACTACAGCACAGGCCAAGAATGCAGAGGTCGCGAACTTCCTCGGGGTGCTTGTGCGGAAGTTCAAGTTTCAGTCCTGCGTCCTGAACTTTTTGCGTGTAGGCCACACGCACGAAGACGTGGATTTTGTCTTCAGCATCCTTTTGGCCAAGGTTCTGAGACGATGCAAGGTCATGGTGCCAGAAGACCTCAGGACGGGCATCCTCACAGGCATGACACCCGTCCTGGCACCCAAGGGCTATGATGTGAATGTGGAGATCCTCACACATGTCAGGAATTTCCAGTCATGGCTCGGGGCTATGTGTGTCCATCCTTACAACTGCTATAAACGACGTGAAGGCATCCTGGCACCCCATTCCTTCACCTTCAAGCTCCGCATGGATTTGGCACCCCGTGAGCAGCAGCTATTGCTGCAGCATCCCACTGACAGAGGTTGGCCTTCTAATCCTCTCGATGTCTTTTGTGTTGTGAAGACTTGGATGCAAAGCCACGGTCCAAACGGGCCTCCTACCTTGCTTATCCCGGACGCACGCTTCGACAGAATCAGCACCGCAGCCCCAACAGAAGCTTGTCGGGCCAGCCGCCCAATGACACGGCAGAGGACAAAGGAACTGCGGCAGCTGGCAGACGCACTGGAGGAACTCACAGGCGCATGGAAAGCTGAACACTCCATGTTCCGGTCGGCCCAAGAACTCCGAGATCTCGCTGACGGAAGGAACCGAGAACCATCACAGGACGGGTACTTGGAGGCGTTGGAGGCTCCACGGGATGACCCAATCGTTGAAGCAGCCTGAGCCTGAGTTGCCACAGTTGACAGGTGTTCGTTCTTTCACATCAGGACTTTTGTTGAGTGGTCCTTAGGACAACCCGTACTATTCAACATTGCCCGATATCTCCTGGCGAATGATGGTCCGCTTCGGCAGATGACGGTGAGTGTTCGAAGTGACTTTGTGATTTGGAAGTCCGGACTTCTATCTAGTTTCTGTCTCACTGTTTCTGAGTTCGGAAGTCTCAGAGTCACCGATTCTGAGTTCCTGATTCGAGCGTGTCTCGCTTGGGACTAAAAGCAAGTGTTGCCTTGTGCTTGCAAGCGCTTGGTGAAAGCCCGGCACTGCTTCCATCGGTTGCTATTCACCGATAAACAGCCTTTCGGCTTGTTCAGACTCAGAGTCCCTGATTCTGAGTCCCAGATTCTGCGCCATGGAGCCAGAGGTTTTTGGAATGACCGCTATGTCTATCCTGGAAGATGAGTCTTTGGCAGATTTGCCACGTGACATCGATGTTGCGGAAATCTTTGCAGGTGTAGGCAGCATCGCAAAGGCAGCCAAGCAGGCGGGTCTCGCAAGTGTGGCCTTTGACAAATTTCGTCAACGTGGGAAAACTGACACATCTTCGTGGGAAAAATCAAAAGACATCGTCATTCCGGCAGGCTTCCACAATGCGGTAAAAACTATTATGCGGGTTCGCAAGGGAGGCTTGGCAGTCTTCGCACCCGTGTGTTCTTCTTGGAACTTCCTTTGTGCGTCAACAACGAAGCGTCGTGCAGACAATTCTTATGTGGGGAACACATCGGCCCCCAGTGTTGCTGAGGGAAATCTCATGGTCGATGCAACGCTGGTTCTCATGGAATTGGCTCTTCTTCGCGGGGTACATGTGGTCATGGAGAACCCTGTGGGCAGTTATATGTTCAACTACCCCCCTGTGGAGTCTTTCATGCAGAAGCACAGCATGTATTCTGGCATCGTGCATCGATGTGGTTATGAAACAGACACAAAAGCGGGGAAGAGAATTAAGAAGCAGTTCAAGCTGGTTTGCAGCCATTCCTGGATTGCAAAGGTGGCCAAGTCTTGCCCATGTGGCGCAGCTGGACATGTGAAGACTTACATTCGATGGGTGGACACGAACGGCAAGACGAAAGTCACGGGTCGCCCTGCTCTTCTGAAAAAGTCTGGATCCTACCCTGCAGCCATGGCCAAATGCATTGTGAACTCTTGGCGAGCCCACAGCAGCAGCCCGAGGCCAGCTTCAGGGGCTGGGCAGCCATCATTGCCATCAAGATCACAAGCCTCGACGAGTTGGTTGACTCCCGCAGTTGCGCGATCGCCGGTGGCCGCTCAGAGTCATTGACACAGAGTCTCAGACCCCGACTCCGGTGGAAAGAGAACCAGGACTCAGAGTCACAGAGTCTCAGACCCAGACTCCGGTGGAAAGAGAACCGGGACTCAGAGTCACAGAGTCTCAGCTCCACAGTCCTGGTTGAACCCGACGTGCAGCAGGCAGAATTCTGTGAAGACAGGCAGACCAGCCAGGACAAAAGCCCCAAGCTGGATGAACCCAGAACCTTTCCGGTCGCTGTAAAACACAATTTGTTGTTCGTGTTGCAGCGCCTGCCTGTCTGAGCCACAATTTAAGCAACCACTCCTCATCGCTCCTAGGCCTTTGCGGATCGTTGTCATCGAGAAGGTCCACATCATCGAAGTTGACAGTTTAGAAGACTCTTAAAAGTTCAAGCTCGGGGATGTCAGAGCCGAAGTTAAACATTGACGGTTGAAAGGTGTCATGTCTTTCTTTCAAGCCTGAGAAGCAGTTGTTCCACAGAATAACTTCAGTGGTAAATATAATGCTTTTGTTTGAAGGTGCCTCAAACAGGGCTGGACCTCTGTTGATTTTAGAGATCAGGCTGCCAAGTAGTCAGGCTTCTGTAATTATCTAGTTTCAGTTTAGCAAAGTTGTGGGTGTAAAGACGTAAGAAAGTAACTTCAAAGATGCGACCACCACACTGTCTGTGATGTCATCTAGCAATTATAAAAAGCATGATCACGTCTAGCCAAATAGTAAGTTACACATCACATACAGGAGTGGTGCACATCTTTGACCAAGGCCTCGAAATAAAAGCCTGACTGCTTGACAGCCTAACCCCAAATCTCCTCATAACAAGCCCAAGTTTGAGACCCTGTCCGACACAGCTAGAGGCGGGTGTGTGGGCATCACTGGGCCTTCGGTGGCCCAGACCTCAGTCCAAGTCCTAATTTGCTAATTAAAGCTTCCAGGCTATTTGAATGCATGTGTGCAGCATGGTGTGTGCCGGCATGGCCGGTGACTTTGCGGCACTGCCATAACACAGGATGAGTTCTCTGGCAGCATCTGGGCTTACTTGCCACTTTATTGTGCCGAGTCCCGGAGTCTCAGATTCCCAGAGTCTCTGAGTCCGGTTCCTGTGATGGGGAAGAAGGCTCCGGCATCACCGAGGATGAAGGCAAAAGCCAAAGAGCCAGCGAAACCAAGAAAGCGGAATCCCAAGACAGCAGGAGCAGAACAAGGAGGAGCCAGTCGCAGTGGGCCGAGTGGGAAAAGTGGCGCGAGCGGCCGGAGTGGTTGGGAGCCCCGGGATCGGAATTCCAAGGCCGATGTTAAGGACGACGATCACAGCAGTCAGGCTGATTCCGAAGAAAGCAAAGGCAGCAGCATCAGCAGCACCTGGCCCAGCAGCATTGAAAGCGAGCCCAAGGAGAACGAGAAGACCACACAGACCCCGCCTTGGATCAGGCGGTTGCGGCGTGCGCGGGACCTTGAGGACAGAGTTACAGAAGAGAGACAGACATGATGAGGTTGAAGTTTGCCAAAGGCACATGATTTCCCTAAACAATTGAGGATTTAGAGCACTTTGCTCCGGGACAGTGCCGAGGCTGAATCGAGAAGGCTTTGTTTTGCTAAGCGAAGTTTCCACAGTTTGCTATCAGCACCTTTGAGATTCATGGTCTTCACAGGCCGACAGGTAATGGATTTCGGTACGAACGAAGTATTGGACTTGGGCGCTCGAGTCATTTACAGACCTATGACAACTGGCATTGCGGGTGCCAGGTGATTCTACTCCGGGAAAGGCTAAGCCCCTGGACTTTTTTTACATCAGAGTACGGACACACCTGTGACACCCGGCATCGCTGCCGCTGCTGCTGTGATGTTTTGACTCCTGACTCTCTGAGTCTCAGAGTCCCGGAGTACCGGCGGATGTCTGAGTCCTCTGACTGAGTGATTGATTGAATCGCCGAGCATTGATGATGCGGCAAAGAGGTTCCTGTGGCACAGACAGGGATGCGCACGTAAACATGTGCGTGCACGCTGTTTCTTTGCTTAATATTGTATGTAGCAAACCACATAAAGTCACACATGCGAGCGCGCGCGCGCAGGGTGCGCGCGCGCGCGCCTTTCGCGCGCGCGCGCGCGTTCCCTTGTGTTTTGCTACATACAATATTAAGCTACTATATAAGCAAACAAACAGCATACACGCACATGTTTGCACGCGTGCGCGCGCGTGCAAACATGTGTGTGCACGCTGTTTGTTTGCTTAGTAGCTTAATATTGTATGTAGCAATACACAAGGGTGCGCGCGCGCGCGTGAAAGGTGCGCGCGCGCGCACTGCGCGCGCGCGCGCTCGCATGTGTGACTTTGTGGTTTGCTACATACAGTATTAAGCAAAGAAACAGCATGCACGCACATGTTTACGTGCGCGCGTGCAGGGTGCTTGTGGCTTTAAAGGAAGCTTCGTGCTTCACGACGTCACTTTCTCCATAAAAAGTTTTTCCCTTCTCTTTCTGTTTTAGTGCCCGTTTTGGGCGTTGCTAAAACACGAAGTTCGTCTTTGGAGAAGAATGATTTTACATGTGACATGAACATGCAGTGCTGTTATCATGTTACATGAATCTTGTGAATTTTTGCCCCGTGCTGCCTTGACATCTCAAGTTCTGAAGGTGGGGCAAAATTCTTGCTTTTGAGGCCTCGGGGCCTTAACAGGCTCGTAACCGGGACCTCGAACAGGGCGCCGACGTTTCCCCTTAGGGGTCGTGCACGCCAGCTGCGCTGCAGCTGGTAGATGGACGAGCGCCTTCGCCTACTCGAAGCGCAGGTGGATCGCCTCAGTACCGAGGCCGACGATTTGCGTGCAGTGCGCTTTCAGCTTGCCGCTTTGCATTCTGACGTCATTGGCTTGCGTGAGCAGTGTGATCACCTTAGTGCCCGTCTTCGCGCCCTCGAAGACCAGGACTCGGCTGCATTGCGTAGGCTGCAGCCTCGCAGCGCTCTTGGAACCAGTGCCATTGCAGTGCTTACCGAACGCGTCTTTCACATAGGTGATTGCTTCCAGTTTCTGTGCCTTCAACTGTCCCGCACCTTTCCCTCAGTGCAGTGGCAGTCGGTGCGTGAGGATTAGTGCAGAGATGTCGGATGCAAGAGAGGCTGATCCTGATCACTCGGTTTCTGGTCAGGGGGAGGAGCCTAGTGATGATGCAGCCAGTGTCAATGCATGGGGCCTGTTGGCTCCACTGAGCCCCACCACCCATGCTGCAGTGCCTGAGGAAAGCCAAGAGGACCCTGCCTTGTGGCTGCCGGAGCCCTTTAGTCCCTTGGCCTACGACCCTGTGCATGATCCCGACCTTAGAGACCCTGCCTCGGACTTGGGTTCTTATGATATGGTTCATAGTGGGGAACGCGAAAGGTCTCTTGACCCCGAGGACATTTGGTATGATTCAGTGCGAGATCATTCTTTAGATGCGGCCCTAGCCGAAGGTGACAGAGAGGAGGCCGCAACCAGCGTTGCGGAAGAGCCTCTTCTGCCTGCTGAGTCACTATCCTACAAGCGTGTCTTCGAGGATGCCAGGTGGGCCGAGGTTGCTCAGGAGGCAAAGTTCAGGCGTGTGTGTCAGGACTTGCCAAAGTTGCCTTGGGAGCAAGGTGCATGGTCCAGCATTTTTGGACCTGAGAGAAACATGATCGACGATGCCCTTAGGAGCAGTGTGCAAGCCTCTTATGGCTCCGAGGAAGCTGGTCAATTGCCACCCGAGAACCTGCCGTCAGCTTCGGCCTTTCTTGAGAAAACTTCGAGTGTAGTTAGGACTAGGCTAAGGCGGTTTCATCTTGAGCGACCGGCAGATGATAGACGGGAGCACGCCATAAAGCGACTGAGAGCTCTCATCATGTACGATCCCGACACTACCTTCTTGGGGATGGTAGTGGCAAAGGAGGCAGCGAACCTAGCTGACGATGAGGCTCTGTCATACTCCTTCACTTGTGCTTTTGCAAAGAGTGCTTCCGGCTCTCTCATAAAGCGAGCTGGGTCCCTTGACCGTTTTGGTAAGTGGATCCTTTGCTGCCGAGGGACCTCGCCCCTTAGATGCTCCGAGGTTGACTTGTTTGCCTACTTCTCGCACCTGCAGGGCGAGGGGGCGGGGGCCACGTCATGCCAGCATTGTGTGGAGGCACTGCGGTTCCTCCATGGTGTTGCGGTGTTTCAAGTGCTTGACCTTGAAGAAGTCTTTAGCGCCAGGGTGCTAGGGATTGTAAGGATTATGCATGTGACAAAGGCCCCGTTAGCTCAACGTCCCCCTCTGACTGTAGAACACCTGTCCCTCTTGGAGCAGTTTGTGACCATGAACAAGGATCACCGCGCATGTGTGGTAGGCCAACTGGTCTTCTGCGCACATGCTTGTGCCCGGTGGGCGGACAGTCAGCGCGTACAGAGCCTAACCATGGAGTGCGATGCTGAGAGCGGTGTGGTACTGATAGTGGCCGGGGCACTCGGCTCCAAAACACGGATCTCTGCTGAAGCACGCACGCGGCTTCTGCCGTACGTCGCCCTGGGCAAAGGCGTAAGCAACGTGCCATGGGCAGAGGCGTGGATGGAGGCCAGAAAAGAAATGGGTCTGCAAGCTGGAGGGTCTTTTCTCCTTCCAACCTGGAGTGAGCGAAAATATGACTGGGGTGATTTTGAAATGGGGGCCGCGGAGGCCACAAACTACCTCAGGGAGGCGCTCATTTCCATGGGATGCGATCTTGACGAGGTCCAGGACTATGGCAGCCACAGCATGAAAACTACTGTCCTGACTTGGTGTGGCCGTAGCACGATCATTCCTTTCACGGAGCCTGAGCAGCGTGCGCTTGGCCATCATCTGGATCCGACAAGCAAATCTCCTTTGACTTACAGCAGAGAGTATTATTTGAAACTCTATGCAAAAGTGCTGGCCGTCTTTTCGACCATCCAGCAAAACCGCCTGGTGCTGCAAGTGTTGCTGCTATGGCGCAGTCCTTTGAAGAGGGCAACGAAAGGGGCTTGAGCCGACTTGAAATTCCGGCGTCAAAGCTGAACAGCGAAAAGATGGATGAGGATGGGGAGTCGGACGACTCCGATCATGCCTCGATAGATTTGGACAGAGAGCTCGAAAGGGATGATGGCCCTGCCGAACGTGAAGTTTTTCGAGGGGTCCCCTGGACCACATGCACTGTCCATTCTGTCTCCGGCATCACACATGTGAAGAGGGATCAGACCACTCTCTTGTGCGGCAGAGTGATCAGTAGGAACTATAAACCTTTTCGGCAAGGTAGTCTGCTAGGGGAAAACCCCTCATGCTGCATACAATGCTTTAGGGTCCTTGAGGCCCAAGGGGGATCCGACGCCGAGGCGAGCCGTGGCGGTTAAAAGAAAGTGCTGTTCTGATCTGAGACTGGTGTGTGCTGGCATGGCCTGTAGCTGAGTGCTGCGTAGGGTCGTTGTGCCAGCTGCCGTGAGTCCGATCGTCTGAGCAGTCATTGATGAAGTTTGCCGCCGTTCCAGTTTTTAGAACATTGATCATGAGAAACATGAACATGTGTCGGAATACAAGTAGCGAGGAGTTTAGCCATGTCACGTGGTATCGTCAGCTCATGAACAGCTCTTGAGGAACCCTAGGTTGTGCAACATGACTTCCTCCGCCCTGGAAAGTACTGCCGAGTTTGCTGAGAGGTGCAAGCGGCTAGGACTGTCGGCAGCCAACTTGGAGGTGCTCCAGCATGCAGGCGTTGCAAGCTTTGGCCAGTTGTGCTTTAGTGTGAGTGCCTCCCCTCACACCATCACTGACCAGACTTTCGAAGCATGGGTTCAGCGGCTTTGGGTGCCCTCGGTTCCTTCTGAGCAGCAGCAAACATGTCTAAAGAAGCTCCTTTTCGAAAGCCAAACTATGTCAATGGGCGAGATTCGACAGAAGATGCAACCGGCCTCGGAGCAAGTTGCAAAGCCTCTGCCCCCATCGGAGCGGTTAGCCAGGTCGCAGCGACAGCAGGCTAGGATCACTGGTTTGGTGTACACTCCTGAGACTACTCCCTCGCACTACCTAGTTGACTTGTTTAACGATCAACTTGAGACGGGCGTCATTGCATGGGTCGCGCCTGAAAAGTGCGCTTCCAGGGCAGATGAAATGCAAAGCAATAAGAAGGACAAAGCCTTGCAGCTCATGCCGGATGGACAGATCAAGGTTAACTCCAAGGCTGCAGAGGTCAGGTGTGAAGCCAGCACTGACTCCAAGCTTCGTGCAGCTTGGCAGAGACGGTCCCTTGCAATGGACATGGCCGGGATTGCAACTTTCATCGTGGTTGAAAAGTGGGTGCATCATCTCTTTTCAGTGTTTGCCCGCGACGTCCCGGAAGGTTATGCACCCATCCAGTTGAGGCAAATGGTAAATGCAGACAAGCGCTTGTTCATGTTGGCCGCCGAGGGCCTGCCTGCTGATCTCAGGGCCAGCCGGCCCGGAGACAGGACACCGCTGGATGATCAAATTATCATGCTGATGTTCTCTCCCGAGATCTCTCAGTACCTTGTGCCGATGCCCAAGCCTCATGTTCCGCCCCCACCTCCGGGGGGTAAGGCCTTAGCTGAATCGCTGAAGCGGGCCCTCAGTGAGGACTTGCCCTTTGATAAAAACTTCTTGAGTCGGGCTTGGAAAAAGGGCAAGGGCGGCAAGGGCGGGAAGGGCGGAGACAAGCAGGAGGATCCAGCAAAGCGATTCAACCTTCCCGAGGGTTGTTGTGATCGCAATGACAAGAATCAGCCTCTGTGTTTCTTGTGGAATCAGGGGAAATGCAAATGGAAGGGCAAAGGAAAGCGCTGCAACAGGGGCTTCCACCAGTGCTATTTCAAAGGCTGTTATCGCGACAAGCCTTTCATTGAATGCGACCATAAGGATTGACAGTCGGTGGCGCTGCAGGCCAACGAGTGGGCCCCTGAGACCAATTCTGGTCTTCACCCGGCTGAATCCTTGGCTCGCAGCGCAGTGCAACAGGGTAATCTTCAGAAGTCAGTCATTTTGTCAGTTTTCGAGCTTTTGCCTGAAGGGAATAATCCTAGAGGGTCCGATCAAGCTTCCAAGGCCTTCGTGACTGGTGCTTTCATTCATGGAACCATGTGTTCAGTGGTCAACAATCTCACACGTTTTCCATGGACTTCTGAGCTCTTGGCATCGTATGCAAGGCAACAGGCACCGACGGCAAAATTTTCTTCATTGGTCATTTTTCGCAACAATCAGGCGGCTCCACATCGCGACTCGCATAATTGCCCACATAGTACTAACCAGGTTTTTGCAATGACGAATTTTTCAGGCGGAAGGGTCATCGTGGAAGACCCTGAGGGGGAGCACAGAATCACTCATGAGGGCCGCGATTTTCGTGGTCGTGCCATAGCCTTTCGGAATGGAATGCTGAGATTCGCTGCGCGGGAGGTCGTGCATTGGACCGAGCCCTGGCTCGGCACCAGGGTGGTCCTTGTGTCATACACGGTGAGGGGCCTAAAGAGCATGCCTGACACTTGCCGTGATTCGCTTTTGCAGGCCAGATTTGCCTTGCCAGGCTATAAAGCCGAGCCCCTTAGGTGCCCGCCTGTGGAGGTTCCCACTTCCCTAGATGCTGAGCCTGATGCCGAGGCCAACCCGGTTCCTTTGGGTCTAGTCCTGATCCTGCATCGCTTGAGGGTCCTGTGCCTGTAGGGTTTAGTCCTGCCCCTGTCCCGCAAGTACCCAAGGATAGTCCGTCCTCCGCTTCGGTCGGCGAAACCCCGCTCGCCCTCGAACTATTTTCGGGGCGGGGACGGCTGTCGCAATGCTTGCGCCGGGCCGGATTTACCGTCTTGTCCATGGACCACAGGCTAGCTCACAGCCTCGTGCCGGTTTGCAAAACTGATCTTGCCACTGAGGCAGGCCAAGCTTTCGTGTGGTCGCTCCTCGAATCCTGCTGCCCTGCCTTTGTCCATATGGGCTTGCCTTCTGACACAGCCTCTTCTCGCTCCTCCTCAGGAGCATTGCGTACCTCGCAACATCCTTTGGGATGCCCGGATTTAAACTTAGGCAGTCTTGAGGCCACACGCGTGGATGAGGCCAACAGAATGTATCGCTTCTCTTTTGAGGTTGCTTGCTTTTGCCTGGCCAGGGGTATTCCCTTTTGCATAGAAAACCCACCTAGTTCCAGACTGTGGCAAATCTTTGCTTGTTTCGCCCAGGCCTTGAAGGACACAGAGGTGTTAGCCAAGTGGCAGGCATTGCAGTCAATCGACCTGCATTGTTGCATGTTTGGCGGCTCCCGTGCTAAGCCATTGCGGCTTAAATGTACACCTGGCCTGTTCGACTCCCTTGCGGTGTCATGCGACAAACAACATGAGCACAAGCCCTGGTCCCTCAATCGCACTCGTGTGGAGATTGCCGTGGATGCATCTTACCCTCTGGATTTGTGTCGTCGTATGGTTTCAGCCTTGCTGTCTTTCATGAGCCAAGCTGGACAGGCCTTGCCGTCTGCCATCCGTTTGCATGACCAATCCTTGGCCGCAGCTGGGGTCCAGCCGCGCCGGCATAAACCTCTAATCCCCGAGTACAAGACAGTCGTGCAAGTCCCAGCGGACTCTCCAATCCCGACTGGTGCCAAGGTGCTCTCTCCCAGCCAACTTCAGGGGGTGGATGTGGCTGCTCCTGTGGCTGCTCCGACGGGGGTGGATGTGGCTGCTCCTGTGGCTGCTCCGACGTCTACACCCTCCTCTGGTTCGACCCCTCCGACTGGTGGTGCCGTGACCTTGGGCCTTTGGCACTCTCCGAGCGAGTTCTTTCACAAGGCTGCATCTCTGGCTCACCCCATGGATACCACCAAGCCGGTGGCCATGGTGACGAAAGCAGCAATCGATTCCTCCTTACATGGGGACCCGGATGCCCTATCCGAGCAAAGGAGATCCTTCCTTAGCTACTTGGAGGAGAAGATTCGCCGCCTTCAGCCCCGTGAGGACGCCTTACACAAAGGCATGCCAAAGTATATGCAGGAAGTTCTTGAGGGCAAAAACTTGCTAGCCTGGGAGGAGCTCTTGAAAGAGACGGGCTATACTGACCTTGATTGCGTGCGCTTCATGAAGGAGGGAGTGAGGCTTGTAGGGTGTGAGGAACATCCAAAGGACTTTGCGAAGAAGGTATCCCCCGCATCCTTATCGGAAGAAGAGCTTAGAGCTACGGCTCGGCATCGGAGGTCTAGCTTGTTGGGTTTAGGGCGTAGTTTCCCCTCCGAGGAGGATGCTTCCCTGCTGTCCCAAGCCACGGCCGAGGAGGTCGACGCTGGCTTCCTTGAGCGAGGTATGACTGCCGGGGAGGTCAGTGCCTTCTTCGGTCACGAAAATTGGGGTGTGGTACGAAGGTTCGTGCTGGTCCAGGATGGAGGTCGCAAGGTCCGTCCCATAGATGACTGCTTGGAGGCGCAAATCAATGCTGCTTACACCTCCACAATTGCCCTGCAACTTCACGACTCAGATTATGTAGCTTCACTGGCCCTCTTCATCGCCGAACGAATGCAAGGCCTTCCAGCCAGCAAGCGCATGCCGTGGCATGGTAAGTGCCTCGACCTTTCGAAAGCTTATAAACAAATGGCAGTCCATCCACGAGACCGCGACCTGTGTGTCATCATGATCCAGGATCATGATGGAGTTGCAACTTACCACATTTGCAATGCGTTGATGTTCGGGGCTTCGGCATCAGTGTTTGCATTTGTACGGGTGAGTCGTTCGTTGTGGTGGATAATAAATAAGTGCTTGAAAGTGCCCTGTGCCTGCTACTTCGATGACTACCCATTATTTAGCCCGGAGTCATCAGCTGCTTCCGTGGACCAAGATGTATCCCGGCTATTGGACTTGCTGGGGTGGAGGCATGCAAAGTCCGGGTCAAAAGGCAAGCCCTTTGATAGTTCCTTCGACGTCCTTGGGACTAGGCTAGACTTGGGTGAGATCTTGTCAGGGAAGATAGTTCTTGCAAATAAGGTTGGCAGGGCGGAGAAAATTCTTGAAAAGGTTTCGACTGCATCCCTAGGGAATGGGAGCTTCAGGCAATCTCTGCAGGTCCTTATTGGACACTTGAACTTCGCCTCCGGCTTCTTTGCAGGAAGGGCCCTGCGACACGTGGCCTACGACTTGAATCATCTGATGGGCAAGGATTGGCTTTCAGCTAAGGACTCCTTAGATGAGTTGGGCAGCCGCATCTCCGTCATCCTTCAGAGCACCCCTCCCCGGTCCTTAGTGTGCAACCGAGTGCGCCAACCGATCCTGGTGTGGACCGATGGCTCTTGGGAAAAGGGACATGCGGGTATAGGTGCCGTTGAATGGGATCCCATTGCCTCGAAGGGTGCGGTTTGGGCTGGCCGCATCCCAACCAGCATCACTGCTCTGTGGTTGAAAACTGAAGATCACACTCAGGAGCAGATAATATCGCAGGTCGAGTTGTACGCAATGGCACTCATCAGACATCTTCGGAAAGAAGCATGGATGCACCGGAGGGTCATCGTCTTCTGTGATAACGAGGCGGCACGCTTCGCAGCCATAAAAGGTGGCAGCAGCAGCCACAGCATGAATCGGCTGGTGCAGGCATGGGATCACCCAAATTTTGATCACCCAGCTTACTTGTGGATCGAGCGTGTGCCCTCTTTCTCGAATATTGCTGATGGTCCCTCAAGGGGCGTGCCCGAAGAGGCCTTACACCTTACACGTACCAGCTCTTGCCGAACTTTTGAGACAGAGGCCGAGCTCGAGACTCTCTTGTTCAGCAGGCGCAGAAAGGAGATGGGGTGAGGGTGCGCCCAAGACTGTTGATGCTGGGAAATACCCGTTTGGGCATCGGTCTGTTGTGGGCTTCGACTTTCACCGCGATTCTCCCCCGCCTTTCAGTAAAAAGATGAGGAACGTGCGAGTGCTGTGAGCTGCTGTGTGTGAGTAACATTCTGAAGGCTATATGCCGGAATATATTGAGATTGACTTTTTATATATATTGGATTTGGCGGATTTTTGCATTACGGTCGTTTAGCATATGACCATTGCTTGATGTGCTTTGATCCGAGGGAAACAATCTTTTTGGGAGAATTATTCATTTCATGTAGCAAACACAAAGGAACGCTTTTCCTCGGGCAATACTGCCTGCTCTGAGGCTGTGATCACCATCGGCGGCCGGCGATGCTGGCCCCTTCTGCTGTGCCGAGCCCTGACACGCCAAGCAAACCACCACAACAACAACAAGACCGGCCACACAACATCATCAAACAACAACCACAATAACAACACCAACACCACCAACAACAGCGCCAACATCAACAGCAACCATAACCACATTGACAACACAACCAGCAACAACTGCAGCAGTAGCAACATCAATAACAACAGCACCGATACCCTAACGATAAGAACCACTACAACATTTTAAGAACACGAATATCAACCACCATAAACAAATGTTACTGACAATAGCGCAACGACAGTTACAATAACAACAAGATTAACAGTAGCAACTGCAGTAACAATGGCAATCACAAGAACAACAGCAATAACAGTAACAGTCACAATGGCAGCAGCAACAGCAACAGCAGCAACATCAACAGCATTCACAAGATTGACAACCAACCATAGCAGTGGAAAGAGGATTAACATTACGAACAACAATAACAGCAGGTGTCACAACAAGAGCATCAACATCATCATGAACAACAGGGAGTTGCTGGTTGCTTGATTGTTTCTGTTTCTTTGCACTGTCACTATGATGTTGTTGTTTTCCTTAGGTGTGTCTCTCTGTTCTTGTTGTGCTGCTTATATCTACTGCCACTGTAGTGCTTGTGTTACTATCCATTGTGGCGCCTATTTTATGCTTGCTGTCCTTATTCCTATACTTTGTTCATGAGGCAGGCATGCATGTCATGTCATGTGCCACTTGAGCAGCGGCCATGTGTGCACCACTTGATCAGTGGCTGTGTCGTGACATGCCGTGCGCCACTTGAGCAGCGGCCATGACGTGTGCCACTTGAGCAGCGGCCATGATGAATGACATGTTAAACTTAAAACCCTCAAATGCATGCATGACGAGTCCTGCCTGGATGACAAAGCTCCCCCGTTGCTCAATGGTCTGACAGGGGTATTTAAGGCTAGGTAAAGTTCGTGAAAGAGGTTGAGGCTAGCTTAGGGCGCAGGGCCAGGTTTCAGGGAGTTGCTGTAGATGTAAAAGGTTTAGGTTTAGTAAAGGGCTTGTTTAAGGTTAAACTAAGGGAGGGTAAAGTTTCAGGGATTTAGAGGTGAAAGGTTTAAGGGGTTTAGGGTTCAAAGCAAAGTTTCAGGGAATTGCTTCAGAGGTGAAGTTTCAAAAACTTGGGTGAGTCTGAAAGTTTGTTAAGGGGTTCAGGGCGTAAGGAAAAAATGCACACCCCGCCACATGTGATGTAGTTAATAATATCATCATCACATATGGAAGCGGAGTGCATTTTTGGTTATGTCTATGCCCTAATGCTTTCCATTATTAAATGAAACTTTAAATACACCTCAAAATCTTACTGCCACCGAGAAATGGACATAAATACCACTGAAGCCCTATAGAAGTAGGAAATTTTCGCATGATTCTTTCAAAACCAAATGTAAAAATCTGGGATGCATATACCTTGATGCTTTCAAAGTCTGGTCACTTTTTTTTGGAGGGCCCTGCCGCCGCCCCCCATACGAAGGACCCAAGGTCACACAAAAAAACTCTAACATCCCAAACCCCAAGCACCTTCCATATCAAAACAACAACCCAAATCCAGGCTACAGGAAACAAACACCAGGCTACAGGAATCAACCAACAGAGGTTTGCTGTGTTGCGGTTCGAAAGCTGCTGTGTTGCGGTTCGAAAGTCGCTCGTGAGCTGCTGGCGAGTGCTCGTAAGTAGCTCGTAAGCTGCTGGCGAGTGCTCGTAAGTTGCCAGCAAGTAGCTCGTAAGCTGCCGGCGAATGCTCGTCAGCTGCTGGCAAGTGGCGCGCCCTTAAAGTTCCTCTAAAGCCCGTTTTGCAAAGACTTTAGAGCCCCTAAGATCGTCAGAGCTGCGGGCCGTAGGCCCGCGAATCGACAGCGCTCCAAAGTACCGAATTCTGACCTATGTCTCGAACTAAGGCTTGTAGCTATCACAGAGTGGAGTGTTGGAACACCCTCCCGGGAGAGAGGCGCTTTGTTTGTTTTGGGAGTTTTGGGGCTCTCAGGAGCGGTGCAAGAGTCACCTGGTCCCGCGGAAGCTCGCGGCCCAATGGCCGGGTACCCCAAGTCCTTCGATGCAGCTTTACGTAAAAAAGGCTCCTATAGAGGTCTTCGGCGAGGGTTTTAATTAAATTCGGGGGGGTTCATGCCAGGGTTGAACTGAGACTGGAAGTTGCACATCTTCAAGCACGCGGTGTGCCTTCGGATGCACTCTAGTTGTCGCCGTCTCAAGATTTCAACTCTAACTGCTTCCCGTGGTGGCTTGGAGTTGGGTCTAGGATTCGAGCGTCTTTCTGAGTCTTGGATATGCCCATCAATTGGATGTGCCCACCCACAGTGCCATTTGGTCCCAAATCTTGAACAGCTCACCGCGCGACCCGCCTGACCGGCTCCATGAAGCTTTGCTCAGTGCCTTGGATGCACTGTTGCTTGTCACAGTGCAGAGGCCGTCTATGAGCGTCGTCTTTTTCAGAGACCACCGAAATCTCGCCCCCGAAATCTCGCCTGGCTAGACTTCGCCCGAACGAAGGGGTCGGGAAGATCTGGAAGGTTTCCCAAATTCGCCCAATCTATTATTAGCTGCACAGGCCATGAAGCATGCACTTGGATGCATCAAACTCTACACTTATCACGACTATGGCAACCATTTATCTTGCAGGTTCTCCTGTTGCTGCTTGCGATGCCAGTGGATGTGCGGAACCCAGTCGCACTCAGCATTTTCCATGTGCGGGTGATGATAGTGACGGGCTAAAGGGTTTTGCGGCGCAGTTGCAGCGCTCAGGCCACCACAGCAGCTTGCACTTCCGCGGCAGACTGCGAAGAGCAGAACCTCCTGCAGACGCCAGGACACAATCATGGAGCCAGCGATGTCATCGAGGACGAGGACGGGGATATCATCGATGATCACCTTGACCACGACGAACACCTTGACCACGACGAACCCGGAAGCGGCGTTCGTAGAGGGACACCTTGTCGGCGCCGCCGGCGAGATGGAAATGAAAACCACTATGGCTATTGTGACGGGTGCCGGCGCCGACGACGCATGGGCACTTGTAACCACTGTCTATGTTGTGACGACTGCCGGCGCCGACGGCGCATGGGCTCTCAAGACAAGTGTTGGGATGATGGTCCGATGATTTGTAGCAGCTGCCACTGAAGATGACAGGGTGCTCGATGTTCTGTTTGATCCAGGCAGCAATGGCTTACCACCCTGATGGCAATCATCACCCTCTTTCGGGTAGAGACTTTTTTTTTGATGGCAATCGTTTGAGTGGAGACGTTTGTTTAGAAGCCGTGCCTGAGTTGCCGGGATATGAAGTTCTGATTTCTAGCTTGCACCCGTTGTCTGTCCAGATCTCTCCAGGCTGTTGCGGCCAAAGAGTCGACTGATGAAACCTGGTGGTCCGGACTTTTTTTCTTCAGGGTAGATCGTGGAGAGATTTCTACGGTATGCTCACCTGTTGTAACTTTTGTTCCCACATGCGATCTGCGTGCAGAAAAGGGAGCAGATCCAAACCTTGTCAGGGTTTTTCAAATCCAGTGTCTCGATTCGGAGCAATCTCCCGAAGCTAGAGCTCACGATGGCTTTAGATGCTTTCAAGGGGCGCCGAATCACGAGTATGAGGGGGACGGTTGAAGAGACGCACAGTTCGAGAATTCGTTAACTAGTTCTGGCAGTAGTTCCCGTGTGCCGGGAGATTGCTCGCTTTCTTCAGTGGTTGTGCGGACAGTTGCCAGTATTCATGCCGAGCCACAAGCACCAATGCTACATTGAGTACATGAGCTGGGGAAATACAAAAACCATGCGTATGCCACATGTTTGTGTAGGCCAAAGCCGGAGAGAAGCCTGGCCTGCAGAGTCTGCAGAGGTCCGAGGTGTTCGAGGTCCGGTCGGCGGAGACCGAGCTTTTGCACGCCCTGCCGGCCGCTCAAAGCAGAGCGCAAAGGGGCAAAGAGGCATTTGCCCGAAGAGTTGTCACTGCCGGCCCAGGCTCGGGTTCAGATTCACGCAAACGAGATGAGATGCGCCTGCTGAAGGTGAAGGCAGCTTTGCCGTCGAAGGAGGATTCGGGCCAGCAGGCTCTTTTCCTGATTGGAGAGCTGTGAGCCGTTCCATCGGAGAGGCCGCTGCTCTGCTTTTTTCTGCAGGTGGCGGCCGACAGGAGTGCCGTGTGCCGTGTGGTCGCATGCCGCATCCCTTTCTCCGCTCCGCGAGGAGAAGAGGAGATGGTTTTGGAGCTGATGCGCTTCACGGAGATGGTCGGGGTCTCCCTCAGCGTGCAGAGTCGCTCCCTTAAGTGATCTTAATTGTACGTTCACTGCTTTGCAGTGCTGCTGCTCCGTGTCTTGCTGCGCAGCAGCAAATCTTGCGTGGAAGCAGCAGCTGTTTTTCCTTTGTTCATGGCGCTCAGAGCAGAGCCACAGACCGTGCAAGGTGCAGAGTTGCTTTGCCGCTCATTGGCGATGCGGAGGGTTCCCTCCTTGGACGGGCTACATCGTTGAAGTGATAATTGAGATCTAGCTTGCGACAAAAAGACTTTTCTTGTGGAGAATTTATAAAACCGGAGGAAGCTTCCCCGGAGACCAGCCGTAAGGGGCAGCTCAGGATGGAATGATGTTGGGCTTCCTTGAAAAAGCGGATTGATAAGGAATGGATGTTTCCGGGGCCAGGCCTCGATGTCCTCGTTGTGTCAGACTATGAGTATATGTCTGACTGCGCGCACACAATGACAATGCATGGAGTGCACACACACACACACACCGATCTGCAAGATGGAGTCATTGCGGCTGTGCTGAGCACCTGGGTGCTGTGGTACCCAGTAGCAAGTCGTCGACAGCTCTTCCCGGAATCCGCAAGCCAGTGTTCGGTCATGCTCAGGATTCTGATACAACCTCGCTTTTCTGGCTTACATCGAGTAAGAGCAGCACTTCCGCAAGCCGTTGCCGCCGGCGCCTTCCTTGAGGTCTACTGCCTCGTGCTGCTGGATTCCCCCAGCGCAGCTTTGCAGCGAGCGGACAGCGGCTCAGAGCAGCGGCAGAGAGCTCTCTGAGCTCTTCCGCTCTGAGGCCCGGGACCTGGAAGAGTCCCATGCCATGTGCCCCGGGCCGCCGCAGAGTCGCGACTCGACATAGTGGAAAGCTCCGCTCTCGCTCTTCGCAGGTACCAGGGCGAGGTGGCACAGATTCGAGAAAGCGGTGGCGAGGTCGCCGAAGATGAGGTTCGAAAAACGAAAGACTCGTGCACAGCCCCAGTCCCATGGTTCTCGGATTTCGGATTTTTGGGCATGAGGTCGAGTTCCACTACATCATGCAAGAGCGTGCGGATTCAGAGAAATGCCTGTGCGATTCCAGGCGAAAAAGAGGACCATCTGCAACGAAGCATTTCTGCGGGGTGGACTGGTCCTGTGCTTTGCCGCCACCACATCTTTGTTGACAAGCGCAGCTGACAGCACAAGAACATAGTTGCATTGACTTTTCGAACTCTGTGACTGGTGCACGACAGGTTCTTTCTGGAACCTTCAGACCAACTCAAGCTTAGGCTGAAGACTCGATTGCAGCCCCGCCCTCGCCCCCAAACAGCCTTAAACCCTGCAAACCCTAACCGCCCTAACCCCATAATTCGGGAGAAGCCGCCCCCAGCGCTTTTCCGATTTCAGAGTCGGATGGTTGCCGCCCGTTTAAAGGGCCCCGGCCGGCTCGCGCCGCTCGGCGCCCCCGAGCAGAAGGCGGCCAAAGCGACGCGGAGCGACGCGGAGCGACGCGGAGCGGAGCGAAGGTCAACTCCAAAGTATAATATAATATAATATAATATTATATTATATTGTATTGCAACTCCAAAGTCTAAGCTACGCCGCTAGCCGCTACGCGAGCGATCGCTCTGCGATCGATCGCGGGTTAGAATTACGACGGTCGTCAACGACCGTCGTCAGCCTCGTTGCCATACTATGATCATCGAAGGAAAAAGAGTAAGACGAGGTCAAGGGAGTGCGATAAGTGACTCAAGAGTGAGTGTGTGAGTCTGTTGACGTGGGGAGTGCGACGGAGTGAGCCATGGAGTGGAAATAGAGTGAGATAGATAGAATGAGTAGTAGGTGAGACTTCGTGTGGAGCTTTTCAGTCAGAGAGCCAGCGACAGAGAGGAACTGTCTGGTGCACGAGCAGCTGCATGCGTGTGAAGACGGCACGGAGGAGCGAAAAGGTGGAGTCTTGTAGCTGGCCTCAATTACTTGTAGTGTCTGAAAAAGAGCGAATGATTAAACCGTCGAGTGAGGAGAGTGAGCAAGGGTGTCACAGGGAAAGGTGTGAGCGAGGGAAGCGGAGAGAGAAACTGAGCACGCATGCACGCGCACATACCTGCATCGTTGTTCAGAAAGATGCACGTCCACATGCTAGCAAAACACGGAGCATCAATAACCGAGCACCATTGCGCCATAAAGCACAAAAGCAGCAGCTCCAACCTTGCCTCACCGAGACGCCTACACAAATGATCCAACTGACCATCCAACTTCCACAAGGTATCGCAAGAATCGACCCGTGGCATGTTGCTCCGCCAAGCCAGTGCACCATCAGAGTCTGGGGAAACCCCTGTATTCACTGGGGCAAATAGATTGCATTCACGAGTGCCACGCCGGTGGGTGTATAGAATATAGAAACACACACACACACAGACAGACAGAGACACAGAGATGAAAGACAGCCGTCGGTGGCCTTACCGGACCATCAAGCAAACAGCTCTTTTGGATCAGTTCCTTCTGGACAGACATCTACTGCGCGCTCGTGTCGTCTGCTTCGCGACGGACGTGCAGGCGAATGGTGCGAAGCCGCCGCAAGACGACGACTCTTTGTTGGCCCCACCGCCAGGCGTGCCGATGGGCTGCTAGGCTGCTAGGGACAACCTTGAGACTGTGCCGCTGGAAGTTCCAGGCCGATGGACGGACTCCTTCCTCATCCTTAAGGCTCCTAGCTCCTAGCGGCAGAGGTGCAGCTTCTCTTGTGCTTCTTGCAGGTGTGCCGATGGGCTGCAAGTCAAGGCTTTGAAAGCGTTTTCGGGGCTCTCGCCTGTATGGAAGTGGTTTCAGCTCGAGATGTGGAAGATGTCCGCAGGGTTGGAGCTTTACGCTTCGAGTCCTGGCACACGCCAGCTCCTTAGTGTCCCAAGTCAAAGTCTGCAAGAGCTCAGCCCAAGAAGGCCCATCAGATTTCTGTACCGATAGTGGGTGGTTTGAGTCGTCAGCCAGTGCCGCTCCAGCTTGCAGGAAAGAAGAGGAGCGCCGAAGAACAGGTGCCATTGAAAACTGCAGCAATGCAGTTCGTGTGAGCCTTGGAGGTGACTTTTTTTCGGAGGCATAGGCGAGGCGGAGCGGCTGAGCGGGTTTCTGTCCGGATGTTCAGGTGGAAGCCCACAAAGTGCCTGTGGGCTTAGTGGCGATTCTCGTCGTCTCCTGAGCCTTCGAAGCGGAAGACCGGCCGGACCGTCCTGCGGCTCTGCTCTGCTCTGCTCAGGTGATGACTTGCGTCAGCCCGTCAGCCCGGCCCGAAGGTTTTATTTTTTATTTTTTACTGGCAGAGATGTGTTGCCTGGCCTGTTGCCGGTGAGATGAGCGGCGCTCTTGGCCAGGCCATCATCATTGGCGGCGAGAACCTGGATAGGGGGCTTCCTGAAAGGCAAGTGGAAGCCGAGGAGACGGCTATGCACGAAGACTCATTGTAGCACCCATCACTGGGGAGGAGTTTCATGGTTACAGGGAAAATCTCCACGGCTCCCAAATGCCTCACATGGCCAAGTGCTGTAACCTTTGAATTCGTTACCAGGTCCGGGGAGGAAGGTGCCTGCCAAACTTCAGGACAGTCGGAAGCACCTCAGTCGGGAGGGGCTCGACACAGCGTAACACAGCACTGGGTAAATAGGGATCCGCCTTCACGAGGCCCCGACACGAACCTTCCAAGGAAGCCACTTGGCCTGGTCGTCGGTCACGTCGATGCGCCCTTGGCATAGCTCAAAAGTGCGCAGCAGAGTGGAAGGGGCATTCAAAAGCAGGCAATTAGGCCCCGGCTCGGAGCCCGGGCCGAAGCGGACCAAGTGCTGGTACTTCTGGATCTGATTCTCCCAGAAAGGGTGAAAACTCGCCTCACCAAGAACATCGCCTTTCATCGCCTTCAGAGAGAGAGTCAGGTTTCGGTTCACAGAGTCCCTGGGCCGCCGGCGCAGTGGGGATTATCTGGTCGGAAAACCTCCGGCAGGGAGGGGCACAAGGCGAGAGGCGGAGCCGCTGAGCCGCTTTGAGCTTCGGAGTCTCCGGCCTGCACGATCCAAACGTCGTTGGAGCAAGTCACCAGCCTCGGCGCTGCTAGCAGCGCAGAGCAGCGCAGAGCAGCGCTGAAGCGCGGGGGGGGGGAGGCCGGGCCGGGCCCGGGCCCCCGGGGCCCCGGGCTCGTCGAAGTTGCCTTTGTTCAAAGGGACGCTCTTCGCAGAGGTCAATTCGGAGGTCGCCTCGAGTCAAAGAGTCAAAGGCGCAATTTCAGCACTCTTCGGCACTTTTGGAGGCGCTGGCAGCACCGCCGGCTTCGTCGTAAGCAGCACGCTTTGATTCGTCGGACCTCGAGATCCAGATCGGAATCTCTGCCTGGCTGCCTGGCTGCCTGGCCCGCGCTTCCGCCCTGCAGCCGGGCACCCGGGCAGCGTCTCGTAGGCCACAGCGATCCTTGAGAATGTCTCCTTCCGACATTCGGACATATTCGGACGTCGTTTGCTCCGGTGGGTTTTTTTGGCTTAGTTAGTTCTTAAATGCACTCTTGAGGCTGTCTTGTCTGCCCTTTTGCCCCTGTTTGTCACGAGCCCTCTCCTGGCAGGAGCTGCAATTCGGATTCCTGGGATGCCCCGAAGGACGAGTGCAACTCTGTGGATGGAGGCCGAAGATCAGCGAAAGCAAAAGTGCCCTTGCAAGGCTCTTGTCCGGATGCCAGCGCTTCGCCATCGTCTTGTAGGCGCACTTCACGTCCGCGGTTTGGGCATCCCGCGCCACTCCCAGCCTGAAGAGGCATGGGTTTACATGCACACTTCGCTCTTTCTGCCGCGGGGCCCGAGCACTCCGTAGTGGTCCTCTCTGCAAAGCGTCGCGAGAACTGTTGCGCTGGGAGGCTCCCTTCCCCAATCTGACACGCCTTGCACTAGACTGGACTCGGCAGGCACGGGATTGTCGCGTCAAACCGCGGGCTCACGAAGTTCGTGTTTCACTGTGCAGGCGCTCACGAAGTTCGTGCTCACGTCTTTCCCGAACATCGGGTTGCCGCTCAACTCGGACCGGGATCAGAGCATCCGCCGTACTGCTTCCTTTCCCGCTTCCACCAAGCCTTCGCCCCGCCCCGCCGTCTTGGAGTCTGCAGGACCGTAATGCGCTGACATCCTGGTTGAGCAGATCAACTCGGCGACACAAGGCCCTGCCTACAGCGCACGAAATCTATGACCCCTTGTTTGAAGCACCGCCATGTTGCAGGTGCTGTTTGCCATCCCGGGCAAGAGTGAGGAGGAGTCTTAAACTTGATCCTAAGCCTAAGCCCAAAAAAGCCGACGAACTTCATTGCCTTGCGGCAACAACACCCGAGTTGCTTAATGCTGTATTATCAATCCAGTTATTAGCATCTATTTCCGTCTTATTGTAATATGACGTGGCTATTTGTGTAGAAAGTAAATAATCACTTGTTAAAGTAGAAGTTAAAGCGTAACCTGCCAACGATGTATTATGAATCCAGTTATTAGCGTCAATTTCTGTTTTTGTGTAATAGTCATTATTTAACTGTGTATTATTTTTATAATTATTAGTTAAATTAGTATCAGTAGCATTTATCGCATTGAAATTAGCAAGACTTTTTCCATCAACGACGGCAATAGCACTATCTACCTGTGTTTTATTGTAAAAATTATTATTTAATTGTGTTGTAGTTTGAAAATTATTTGCTAAATTATGATTAATATCAGTAATTACTACATTCTGTCCATCATTAACTGCTATAATCGGAGCTAGTTGTGTGTCTAACTCAGCCTGTGTTATTCCACCACCTCCACCGTTTCCGCCAACGTTTGCTATTTCAGTATCTACATAAGCTTTCGTAGCATACAAGGTACTTATGTCAGTTCCATTAACAACAATATTATTAGCTGTTAATGTATTTGTATTATTCAGTGTTAAGGTCATTATTAAATTAATTTAGATAATTAATTTAACAATGTTTAATCAAATACTTTTAACCCTAAGTCGCGAATTTCAAGTATCTGTTCTGAAAGCATCGTGATGAACATCTCATCAGGCATTTCATCAACAGGAATGGAAGCACCAGCTGGTTTTACGCGAATGAGAAGCTGTTGCCCAGCACGTGTGTTAATTCCTGACCAACTGCTATCTTGAAGCTTTTGAAAATCAAATCCAAAAATAAATTGACGGTCACGATATACTGTTTAAACTCAATTGAAATACTATGTTGATGGAACACTGGAAGGTTTAATGCATTTCTTAAATGATAGAAGCACTGTGTTAATGAATTACAAGGATATTCTGGATATAATTTAGAACCTAATTGAATTTGGAATTCTAAATCTTTATTTACATCATAAATTCCTTCTTGTAGTGAGTTATGAGATTGATGAGGATGATAGAAACGACAGAAACGCTAATTAGCATATTCATACCCTACGCTCGGGTCGTCCGTTCTGTAAAAGGTAATAAAAGAAGCAACTAATTTAGAGACAGAGCGAATAACTGGAACACTAATATCGTTTTTGCCTTCTACCGATTGTGATTGAGTAGTATAAGTTGTATAAGTAATCGGAAGACCTTTGCCTTCTAATAAATGCTTGACGTATTCATTATTTAAGTTATTATCAAGGGTGCAAATATCACAATCTACAAACGCGTTGTTAAGTTCAAACACTTTTGAGGTATTGGTTGAAGCACCCGCTGGTAACGCTACATCCTGCGTAAATCTTTGACGTAGCAATTCTGGAATTCTTGTGTCTGCTTCATCATAATCATCAGGATTGATAACACAGTCAAGGTCATTATTTACAAGTTCAAGTTCAATTGTTAAATTGCCCATATATTTTAATGGTAAATACTTAAAATTACTAGTGAATAAACCGGCTAATGGTTTCAAACAGACTGTCATTTGATTTTTAAAACCTTTACAGTTATTAGCATTAACTTCATAATCTAGTTGTGTTCCAACGTTATTAACTAATGTTTTAACTTCATCATCATAACGATAACCAAAACCTTCATTCGCTTCGTCTTGTCGTGCTCCTTGTGACATTAATTTTGAAAACATATGATGAACACGGTTGTAATTATCAAAGTCTTCAACAACTTGATTACCAGCGATAATTCGCATACGTCTGAAAAAAGAATATGGAGGTGATAATGGTCGTATTTTTCTGTCAAGGTCTTGGTCTAAATTTTGAACTGTGAAGCATACACGAACGCTTTGAGGGTCTAACCATGCATTGTCTTCTGCGTTTAATGAAAACTTCAATACACGGTTTCCCGATGTTGGTCTATACACGCTTGAACCACTAGGATAAAATCTTACGCTTCTTCTGTCTGTTATATAACTTGCTCCTTTTTGTAATTTAAATGAAAGGTTATCAACTAGAATATCTTCCGGACTGAATGTCTCCATAACTATATATACACCATTAGAATTGTTTTTCTTCTTATTCTTAACTATACTATTTATTTCTTGTCATTCCACATCATTTTCTTCAACTAACTTCCGTATTTCTTCATAGCTGTTCTGTTTAAATTTCTTCTCTGGCTTCGTCTTTTCCATCTGTTCATAAGTCTGCGCTTTGTAAGAAAACATTATTATTATTAATACTGTTTAGATATAATTAATCAAACTGTTGTAAAAATTCTTCTTGTGTTATCGGTAAATTTCCAGGCTTATTATGAACGTTAGCGATATCAGCGAATTTATGATTATCAAGCGGGTTTAACGAACTGCCGTTTAATGTTAAACTGCCTCCATCAAAAGCACTCACGGGGTCTCCGGCTTTTCTTATACGAAGATTAGTTCCTGTCTCATCTGGTCGTTGTCCTGATACAAAAGGCGAGCCATAACTTCTCGTTCTGAAAATATTTCCGTAATCATCATTTATTTGAGCGCTTACTGCTGACCCTAATGAATGTGAGATTATATCAGTAATTCCGTAATGCTTTTCACCGTCTATTTCAATAGCATCGTCTTTAATAAATTTATCAACATCTTTATAACGTTTTGTACGCCGTGTCTGGTAAAATGGTAGTTTTAAATCATCATAAAAATCAACCGGGTCTTTTGTTCCAGCAATGTATAACTGACTTCCATTTCTATAAATCCTGTCTGGGCTTTCATATGCGAGACGGAGACCTTACGTATCAGTTAAAAAGGTTTCTGTTCCAGCTAATTCCTCTTTAACTTCATTATGTATCTTGCTTCTTGTGTTAGGCGCTTCATACAAAACACCTTCATTTCTTCTTTTATGTTTATGCATTATAAAATAACTTATAAATTAATTTTTCTCGGTTAATTAATAATGTTAAAGTTCAAAAAAGTGTATATTGACAGTAGTTATAAAGTCAGTGGCACGTCATCCGATTTTACTATTGACTTGCCCGAAACAGTTCAACTAGAAGATAACATAAAGTGTATAATTCACGAAGTGAGCATTCCGCATTCTTGGTTTGCAATTCAACAAGGATTTAATGACAGCCTCTATTTTTATCAGTTAGACCCTAACGGGGTAAATCCTGATATCATTGACTATCGCATCTTTTCAATTGATGAAGGTAATTATTCTGGCGCGGAACTTGCAGAACGAATTGAATTTTGGTTGAATGATTATTTTGATAGTAGAAATCCTGATGTTGCTAGAACCGACACTTACACAGTGTCATATAACACAAAACTTAACAAAATTCAAACAGCCGTTAATTATGCTAATCTTATCTTCAACGTTTTTACAGAAGCAGAAGTAATAGCCAATCAAAACCAATTTACAGGCATTGATGTCAGTAATTTACGTTCAATAAACAAAGTCCTAAATATTGTTGATAATACACCCACTCACGGAATTGCTTTACCCTTCGTGTCAGGCTTTCTTGATTTAGTTCCGATTAAAAACCTTTATTTGCACTGTAACGAAATTAGCAACTACAATCAATTGACGGTGGCGGGAAATTCATCAATAGTAAAGAAAATCCCTGTTACTGTTCCATATTTAGGTATCATTACTGATAATGAAGTGAATGAGTTTGATTGTGTTGATTGTAGTAATAAAATACTACGCAGGTGCAATTTCAGATTTTCGGACGAGTTTAACAAAACAGTTAATTTTAACAATGTTGATTGCTCTTTCAGTTTAACATTTTTCAGGGGTTGAGAATTATCTAATTAGAAAAATATAGACTATATTAAATAATGGCGAGTGAAGAGGTTGATGAGATTAAAGATGAAGAAGCACCCGAGGTCGTTAGTAATGAAGTTAATGAAGAAGCCAGTGAAGTTTTAGATAATGAGGTTAAACCTGAACAGAATGAAGAAGTCGTTACAAAAGAAAACAATGAAGTTATAGAAACAGAACCAACTCCAAAAGCAAAACCGAAAGCAACACCAAAGAGACTAGCCAGAACAGTTAAAGTAATTGAATTGGTTGAGTGTCAGGCTTGTTTGAAAAAATGACCCCGAAAAGCTTGAAACACACACATCCCAATTATTGTAATGGACAGCCAGGAGAAACATTACCAGCAAATAAGCAAAAGGCGAGTTATGGTTCAAAGGTTGAAGAGAAATTAAGAAAAGAAATTGAAGAAGAGATGAAAGCTAAATATTCCAAGGTTGAACAAACTATTGAAACAAAACCAGAAGCAAAACCAAGTGTGCCAAGTGTGCCAGTGAGGATGGAACGCGAACGTGAACATATATCACCACCTAAACAATTAACAGCAACAGAACTTTTACAACAACATTACAGTGAAATTAGGAAAGCTAAACAACAACAAAAGGTTGAACAAATTAATAGGTTCAAAAGCAGTATGTTTTAATATTAATATTATTTTTATCTAAATAATATTAATAATAATGATGTTTAAAAGTAAGCCAGAGTTTAAGCGTGCACCCCAAGTATCAAAATATTACGATCTTGAAGACTCAATAGGTGTAGCAAGTAGGTTAAAGGAGTTGCAAGATATGAAGTTAAGAGTTGAAGAAGCAGAAAACAGAGCCAAAAACATTAGGTTAAGGAATGACTGGGTGGAACATCAGAAGAAGAGCCTTTATCAAGGGGAACTAGATAGTATTAACAGACAGTTAGAGAGACCAATGATGCCGGTTAGAACAAAGGAAGAGCTGGAAAAACGTCAATCCGACCTAAAAAATATTATAGCAAATATAATCTAAATTAATAATATGATTAAAACGTTGAAATCTGAACTGAAATTACGTCCAACTTATGACGAAATGATAGGATTGATTGAAAGCCAAGGAGACCCTAACCGACCTTCAATTGAAAGTGTCATTGACAGACGAGCAACCATATTTAGAAATAATCAATACGGAAGCCAGTTTGATAATGTTGATTTTCTAGGATTGAAGAAGCAGGAAGAAGACAAAGTTAGAAACGAACTTAGACAAGCACAATTAAGAAAAGTTGGTATTGAACAGGGCACATCAACGGGTGTTTTAGCGGTTGGTTCAAGTGGTTTCAATACACCCTTTGAGGTTGAACTTGATGACGCAAATGATGCAGGAGCATTTCTAGAATTGAGAGAAAATCTTAAACAATTTCAACAACAAATGGCAGAAAGAGAGAACGAAGCAAGCGCTAGAATAATGGCATCAATATTAGGTGATACCGAACGATATAAAGAAAGCGTTAGAAGACAGAATTTTGAAATAAGTGACATGGCTAAACATGACTTAACTGACGTTCATTCTCAATCATTACCCGCAGGTGTTCCGGTTCATTCAATCGCTACTGATGATGATGACAAAATGCCAGAATTAGAAGCAACTGATAGAGCAGATGAAGAATCGCAAGAAGAAGATGGTGGTGACCTTATGAATAAAGTTGGTTTGGTAGGTGATTTCAATCCAGATAGTTTACTTAACAACCAAGACCTTAAATCAACGGGTCTGATGTTTCAGTTGTTTGTCCGTGATTTGTTGTCTGATGAAATGATTGACTTGGTGGATAGGCTACCTACCGAACAGAAAAAGAAACAGTATTTAGTTTCCATCATTGAAGGCTTGAAAGAAACTGCTGAATGGCAACAGTCAGGTTTCGCAGGTAAGACCGTTAAAAAAGAAGCGAAGAAGTTTAGATAAATGAGAAGGAATATTAAAAAGACACCTAAAACACAAGAAGGTGGTTCTTCATCTTCTTCTGGTGGAGGTATCGGTTCTGCTATTGTTAGTGGTGCAAAGGCGGTAGGCGGTGCTGTATTGGATGCCGGTAAAGAAGTTGCAAAGGATGTAGCTCTCGCAGTAGCACAAGATGCATTATTAAGTATTATATAAACAAATATATAGAATGCTTAAACTTCGCCCTACATATGAACAAATGTTAAAGGAAGCCAGAACCAGAAGGTTAAACATATTACCGGAAAGAGAAAAAGGAAGTTTAACGGGCATATTGTTAGATTATGTTGATTTTGATGAGTTTGATTTGAGCATTTATGATAAGAGAATAAATATTAACAAAAATAATAATCCAGATAAAGCAACACAAACGGATTTTAATTTAGCTTCATCTTCACATTCTTCTTCTAGTGAAACTATGAGAACGCCAGAAGAAGCTGTTAAAGAGACACAAGAAGAAGTTAGTGAAGCATCTAGTATAAGAAGCGATGAGAAATCAGTTTATAGAAAAGAGGAGAAACAAAAAGAGAGAAGCCTAATGAGAAGAATGATTGATAGTATGTTTGAAGAAGTTGAAGTAGATATAGAACCAAGCCAAGAAGAAAGTGTAGCAACAGAAGAAAGCCAAGCGAGTAGTTCTTCTTTACCGATGAACGTTAAAAAATCATATGAACCATCATCATCATCTTCATCAAGTTCAAGACGTAGTTCTGGAAGAAGTGCGCTTTTGCCCGTTGAAGAAGGAGCATTGAGCGAATACGTTCAATCCACCCCACCGGAAACAGTTCAAAGTTCAGTGCCCTCTGATAGAACAGTTGAATATTTACAAAGTTCTCCGCCTGTTAGTGTTGCCAGTTCCGAAAGGACTATTGAATACATAAGGTCTAGGAGTTCATGAGGAAGAAGTAGATAAGCAATAATATTATTGATATTATTGTCTATCTTTTTTACACCTTTAGTAATTACCTGAAAGTCACACTTTCAATAGTTCGTGGCGTAAATAGCCTCTGTTGCCATCATCCAAAAAATAATAGGTCTGACCTAACTTGTCGTCAATCCGGGTTACTTCTTGAATTGCTTTTAGCCAGTGGCTGGTTCGTTCTTTTTCTGATATTCCTTTCTTTCTCATAACCTTCACCTTATCGCCTTTTTCTAGGTCAGGGTAAGTTCTACTTCTTTTTGCTTGTAAGCCTATATTCAATTTCACTTCAAGCTCATTCTTTTTTAGCTTGGCATCTTTCGGAGTGAATTTGGTTGCAGAATGAACGTCTTTATTATTGTATGTAAGCATTATTTCAAATATGTAGTCCGTCCATTGAATATTTTGTTTCACCTTTTTTTCATCTGCTTCTACTCGTTTGAATAGTTTGTCTTTAAAGGTTCTTATCAGTCTCTCGGCGAAGGCAGGGTGTCCTCTTGTTCTGTGAAGCTCTATCTTTTCCTTTGTCAGATATTCATTTACAACTTGACTATTCAAACTTCCTTCGTCGTCGCCGTAAAGAAGCTCGGGCTTATTATTCATCTTATTTAGTCCCTCCATCATTCCCGCTAGAAAGTCGGGTGGTTCCTTACTTTTGATAGGAACAACAACTGAATATTTGGAGAAAACATCTATAAGCACCAAGCCTACATTGAATTTTTGATGTTCAAGGTCTTTCTTAGAAATAAAGAACAAATCAGTTTGAAAAGTATGATAAGCATATGGTGCAACGAAGGAATTTTGTCCGCGTGGTTTTCGTTTCTCTTCAATGTTGTTTTTAAAGAATTCTTCCACGTCTTGCATTGTTATAGTTTTATCATTCTTTTTTGCATCTTCTAGGGTTGTTTTTTACTTCCAAAACCGCTTTTATCGTAATAAATGTTCGCTATAATTTCTTGCTTAGACGTTAAAATAACTAAGAAACTATTTTTAACAAGAACTGCAATTGCAATAAGTGCAGTAAGCTATACAGTTGTCTGTCGTGTGGCTCATCTCGTTGTCTTTCCGCTGTGCCGTGAAGTCAGTAGATATACAACCAGACTTGACGTCAATGTCAAACTGCTTACCGCATTTCTTGCAGTATCCGCATAATCTTTCAAAACACCATTCTGTTGTAATGTAGGATTTTAGGTTAATATTTCGTCCGGCTTTTTTGTCCTGTTGCTTGTATCCTTCCACCTGGTTTTTTAAGTAGTTTGTTAAAAAGTTTTGCTTGATTTCCGCTAGTTGCCCGTCGTCCAGGTAAAAATACACTTGCTTAAAATCTGCAGCATAAGCTTGTGTAAGTGCTCCTTTAGGGGGCAACGTGCGCAGCTTTAGTGTTTCACTTGTGGCCCCTATGGCTCGAACCTAGGGGGCCCCTTTGAGCCGACCGCAGACACGGGTCGAAAAGAAACTCGAGCGATGCATCTATAGACACTTCTACGAACTGCCGCTGAGTTGGTAGCGGAGCTCTAAGGAGCTACCACCGGTCGATCAGGGACCTTGAGGGCCCAAAGAGATTCCTTAGGGAACCATGCTGGGGAATGCAAAGGCCAGCGATTTGGCCGATGGGAAAAACTTCGTTCCTTCATGGAACGGAAAGCCCGAAAGCTTCAGCCACTTTGTGACGGAGATCCGGTGGGCGCTGAATAGCACGAAGAAGCACGAGCGAGCCCTCCTGGCCTCGCGCATCGTGCGCCGAGCTTTGCAGAGCGAGCACCCGACTTTGGTGGCCTTGCTCTACAAGCTCGATCCGGAGGACTTCAACACCGAAGACGGCGTGGACAAGCTGGTGAAGTTCCTGGAGGCAAGCCCGATGAATAGGCAGCCGCTGCCTGATGCGGGCAACAAGATCGGCGGCTACTACCGGCGCTTGCACAAGAAGCCCCACGAGGCGATCCCCGCCTTCTTGGTGAGAGAGGACAGGGTCCACGACGAGATGCTTAAGGCACTCCAGAGGCTCCTTACGGAGCGCGAACTGACGTTCGACGACTACGAAGTGGACCTGGGTGAGCTGAAGGCTTTCTGTGGCATCCCTGAGGGGACGTCTTTGTACTTCGGCCCGGTGGAAGGCACTGACGCGGCCGAGGACGAAGAGCCCGACCAGGACGACGAGATGGACACTAGGACGCAGACCCCGGAAGGTTCCGCAGGAAGGCCCTTTTCGCGCTCTTCGTTTGGGCGCCGAAGCAGCTCTAGAGAGAGCCGCGCAAGCAGCAGCAAGTCGGCCTCTAAGGAGGTCAAGGTCACGGAGAAGAAGAAGCCCAAGGGTAAAGACTTGCTGCAGAGGCTCATGGAGAAGGGGCTTATGCCCCTGGCTGCCTTGGATGTGATCCGCGGATGGATGATCTTGGAGATGAGCACCTCGACTGAGGACGAGCGGCGCATCATCAAGGCGGCGACCCGGAACAAGCTCGGGTACCATGAGATCAAGCAGGCCCTCCTCTCCATGTACGAAGACAAGGGCTCCCAAGGAGGTAGGCCCTATCACTCCGGACATGGAGGCCGTTCCGCCTATTGGGCGGAAGAGCTGGACCCAGAAGCCTGGTACGACGAGGACGGCTCGGTGTACTACCAGGACACAGAGGGCGCCTGGTGGACTGACGAGCAGTGGGCCTACTATGGGGGCCAAGAAGGAGAGTGGGTCCAGGAAGAGGTCACTGAGGTGACCGGAGACGAGGAGCCAGACGCGGCTCTGGTGCATCTCCAGGAAGAGCAGGTGGAAATCGAGAAGGAGAGGCAAGAGATCGAAGCCATGCTGGCGGAGAACGACAGGAATCTCCAGGATGCCCGCCGTGCGGTGGCCGCGGCCGTGAAGGACCGGGGTTGGGGCGGCGGTGTGGCTCAGAGGCCATACAAGCCGACATCAACCTACATGATCCTACATGACCAAGGGCCTCGGCAAGCACGGCCAGCCTAAGGGCGGCCAGTCCAAAGGAAAGGCTCACTACAGCGAGGAAGCCAACTACGTGAAAGGGGCTGGCAAGGGCAAGGGCAAGTGGAGCTCCCCGTCGTGGGGAAAAGCCGGCAAGGGCAAAGGCAAAGGAAAGGGCAAGAACGGTGGCCACAACTATCACCTCTTGACCATCGACGAGTACGACTACTGTCTCGCTGCCTCTGAGGGGGCTAGCACCGTAGGAGCTTCTGAGTCCTTAGTGGACACCGGAGCCACGGCTTCGGCAGGAGGCCAGGAAGCGGTAGAGAAGTTGTGCTCCGCAATCGCGGCAGCACGGGCAGACGTGAAGTTCGAAGTGAGCGAGACGGTGCGGCCATACTTTCGTTACGGCTCGGGGGCATGGGGTCAAGCTTTGTACCGGGTGAACATCTCGGACGGAGAGGTGACGGTTTCCGTGTTTGCCCTGCCTAGCAAAGGTGTACCTGTTCTACTAGGAATGAAAGAGCTTGCCTATCTCAATGCGTTCCTGGGGTGCGCTACTGGAAGGTGTCTGGTAGGAGGACAGAAGGTCATTCTTAGGAAGACCTCAAAAGGCCACTTGGTGATGGACTTTGTCGAACATATTTTCCCTAAGGGAAAGAAGAAGCCAACTGAGACTACCTCAGCAATTTTGGGATCGCAAAGTCCAAAGCCAAAGCAGGTCGTGTGGAAGTGGGTTCCCAAATCAACTAGTCTGAAGAAGAACGTCAAGTTGGGAACAATGAGCTGTTTCACTATCTGTTGGAGTTTGATGAGGGGAACGAGTGTGAGTGCTGCATGTCTGTCGAGCAGGTGGAGAGAGAGCAGGTGAATCCAGAGTGCCCACCTGCCGAGCACTTGCAGCTGAGCATGGATGAGTTTGAGTTCCTGTGGCCTGGCTCTACATCGGCCCAGATGAGTTCTGGACGTAGTGAACGCGAGAAGACTTCTGAAAGGAAGCGCGGCGACCATGGCCGGCGCCACCGGGAGCTCGACGCTGAGCGCCGAGATGAAGGAAGAGATCGCTCAGGCGGTCCGGGCCGCAGTCGCAGGGACGGTGGCCGAGACGGTGGCAGAGACCCTGGCCGCGGTGGGGCCGAAGGCCAAGGCCAAGCGAAAGCCAAAGGGCACGACCTCCGAGAAGGACGAGACGAGGGCCATGGGCGTCGACAGTCGAGATCCTCGGTCTCGACAGGAGACCTGGCCTTGCATGGGAGAGCACGTGGCACAGAACCACGGGAACCGGTTCGGAGTGTGGACCGAGTGCGCCAGGTGCGGCCTCCCCCTGAAGTACGTGCCCATGAAGGACGCGCCGGCTCAGGCGACGCATGTGGACCTGCCCCAAAACGTCATCGAAGCGCTGGAGCGGTTGAGGACCGGAGGTTGGACCGCGGAGGCGATCGAGAAGAAGCAGGTCAAGAACATGATCGCGATCGTCGCCAAGGAGAAGGCCGTGCTGGCACCGAAGAAGAAGAGCACGACGTTCGGACCGCCAGGGCGGACCAAGCCGGCGCCCAAGAGAGCCGAAGCAGGAGCCGAGTCGGAGATGGGCAGCCCGACGGAGGAAGAAGAGTTCCAGAGAGTGGACGTGCCGAGGGAGGCCGACGAGGAGACGGACGCCGAGCTCATGGCCGAGAAGCCGGGACAGAAGACACCGAAGGGCAGCCGGCCGAAGAGCAGCCCGCAAGGAAAGAACAACCAGTGAAGCTGGAGGTCTCTGAGGAGACCGGTGGGCCGGCAGCAGAGACAGGTGAGGCTTCTGAGGGAGCCCCGGCAGTGGAAGAAGGACCTGAGGGTCCTTGGCGAGAACCCAACCTCAAGGGCCTGGACAAGGAGGTCAAAGAGAGGTTGCTCGATGCGGCCAGTGAGCTCGACATCGCGGCGATCCTGACTTCCCTGCGGCCTTTGACGATCTGGGAGATCACGGACAAACAAGAGTCCGGTCTGAGAAGCAGCTGCGAGTCACGGAAGCTGACAGTGGTGAAGAAGAGCTGGTCGGACGGGTACGACCTGACCAAGGAGGACCACGTGAAGAAGATGGTCCGGGAGGCCACGTTGGACCCTCCTTGGAGGATCTGGGCTTCCTTGACGAGCACATACCAGCCAGGTATGATTTTCAAGGATGCGGCCCAGGAGAAGGAGCACCGGCACAAGAAGCGCTACAGGGCGAAGAAGCAGATGCAAGGATTTATCCAGCTGCTGAAAGCCCTCATGGATAATGAGGTGACCCCACACTTCTACTTGGAGTGGCCCAAGGAGGCTGCTGACTGCTGGGGCCTCGAGGAGATCAAGCAGCTCAAGGACAATGTGCCGAAGTACTTCAAGAAGAAGCTGTACGAAACGCAGCTTGATGGGTGCGTGCTTGGGTTGCAAGACTACGAAGGAAGACCTCTAAGGAGGACCTGGTGGTTCCTACACACAGACGAGGGCTTCCATAAGCGCTTCAATGTGTGGTGCGACGGCAAACACCGACACGTGCCCCAAGACCAGTGGACGGAGAGCACTCGGGAACTCCTTCAGGGAGCAGGTTACCCCGGGGCTTTCAGCGTTTCCTTGGCGACCCACTGGACTAGACAGTGGCAAGACGAGAGGGTCGCCAACAGCACGCAGCTGCAGAGCATTTACGCCATGGCACAAGAGATGGCGGCCGATGAGGAGATAAAGACTGGGACTTCTCAGGAGGTTCCCATTCCAAAGGAGACCTTGGAGAAGGCACAGAAGCTGCTGCATCGTCTGCACAAGGCAGCTGGGCATCCGCCGAATCGAGGTTTGGCCCGGATTTGCCGGGACCGAGGCATGCCGAGCTGGGTGGTAGAGGAAGCCAAGAACCTGACCTGCCGGGCGTGCATCGATGCCAAGCGAGGCGAGCAGCTTGTGCTACCGGTCTCTGTGGGGACCAAGCCGCAGCCATGGCAGTTTGTCGGGATCGACGTCTTCGAGCTGCCGTTCTATGAGCTCAAGGTGAAGGCCAGGTACCTCTTGATGATGGACCTGACCACGCGGTTTCAGGCCGTGGAGCTTTTATGGAGCGGCAAGATGAACGAATCGGGGACCGATCCTGGGCATGCCTTTATGGAGGCTTTTGCGTCAACTTGGCTGCAGCATCGACCCCGACCTGAGTGGATCCTTTGTGATCCACAGACCAGCCTGGCCTACGGCGACTTTCCGGAGTTTCTGTCAAGCGTGGGCATAGGACTGTCGGTGACTCCTGGGGAGGCACACTGGCAGCTTGGTGGGGTCGAGGTCGCGGTCAAGGCCACTAAGAAGACCATGAAGAAGATCCGCAGCCAAGAGCGCAACCTTCCACCATCAGTGGTGGGACACCTGGCTGCTATGGCAGCAAACCACACCGTGAAGGTGAAAGGGTTCACGCCCATACAATGGGCTTACGGAGTGGATCCAGCCCACTACGAGCGGGATGAGCTGGCCCTGGACCCCCTGAAGGTGAACAAGGAAATCATGGAGAAGCCGGCGAACTTCTGGAACCTTCAGAGGCTGAGGGATCGGTCTGAGGAGATCCACCGACAAGAGTGGGCACGAGAAGCCTTCACTAGGCTCCACAACGCAGCACCAAGGCCAGCCAACAATTTCCAGCTTGGTGATTGGGTATGTGTCTGGCGCAAGGCGACGCTGAAGTCTCGAAAAGGAAGAGTCAACCCAGAGCCCCGGTTCATTGGACCTGGGCGGGTGGCGCTGATCGAACCTGCGGTTCTTCCTGAAGGACGATCCTCCGTTCTCTGGGTGCTGATTGGAGCATCTCTTTGGAGATGCGCGCCAGAGCAGCTTCGCTTCGCGAGCGAGCAGGAAGTGCTCTCAGAGTTGCTGAGCCGGGGCGAGGCTGTCACAAGGCCAGTCCAGGAGCAGCTCAAGAATATGAGCCGCTGGCTGGACGTCACCAGCGAAGGCAAGGGCATGGAAGAGGAAGTGGACCTTCCAAGCGAGCCCCTTCCTGAGAGATCCCTGTCCACAGCACAGCCGCCGGCTGAATGGATCCGTGGCATAGAGGAGGCGTCAGACACTTGGTCGGATCGAGGGCCGCCTCTCAAGGCAGGAGCGGAGTCGCTCTAAGGAGCGACAGCAGACGGTCGAGGAGCAGCGGAGGCAATGGCAGCAGTTCAAGGGACTCAACGAGGGCCGTCGAAAGGACGGTTTGCCACTGCTGACCCGGATACCACCGCAACTTCTGGGACCTGTGCCAGACTCCTGGGAGGTGGACGATGAAGCGAGGATGCTAATTCGGCATCACAACTCGTGGCGCTCCAAGCTTTTCGTGCCACCGGAGAACATGCCTGTACCAATTGAGGTCGGCCAGTTCACTGGGAAGAGGGTGACCCAGTGGATTCAGAAGGAGACCGACGCTCGGAGCAGCTTCGTGGACGACTTCAAGACCACGGGGCAGCCTGAGAGAAGCCTAGGCTTCGAGTGGAAAGGCAAGACAATGTTCGGCTTCAACCCTCCGACGCCAAAGAGGACGATCGAGCAGGTGGCGGAGACACCAGCAAAAGATCGAGGGCGAAGCCGGCAGAGGTCAGTGGCACGTACCAAGCCTGGAACCGAAAGGTCGCGCAGTGGTCCACCGACAACAACAGCGACGGCCACTGCAAGAGCGGAAGAAGGCACCTCTAAGGAGGAAGCCAAGAGCAGCCACGAGGCGATGGCAGCAGTGAAGACAGAGACCACAGAATCCCAACAAGCTCAAGGATCCATGGAGTCTGCTGAAAAATCAGGCTCAGCAGAGGGTTTTGTGGAGACAGAGACCACAGAATCCCGACAAGCTCAAGGATCCATGGAGGTGGGCAACCAGGCCGTGTACTTCAACATGGCGGAAGGTGATGACAGAGAAGCTGACACGGCAGAACCTAGCACTGCTGCTCTGGAGGAGAAGACAAAGGCCTTTGAGGAGGTCGCAAACTTCTACCTCAACGAGGACGTGTACCATGCGGTGAAGGACCGCATCAAGGTGCTCGAGATGGAGATCGAAGAAAGAGAGTACATTAGGCAGCTCAAGGAGGAAGCGGACGCTTACCGGAAGTCCGAGGAGCAGCTACGTACAAAGGTGGCGGAAGCATGCGACAAGGGCGAAGAAGCCTTAGTGGTCGAGTTTGATGTGGATGACCTGAATGCCTTTGTGGCTGGAGGGACAATCTACACCAAGGAGAAGCTCGTGAACCCGAAGTCGCAGAAGGAGGTCAACTTCAAGAACCTCACCAAGGACGAGCGGGCCAACTTCGACGAGGCGATGGCCAAGGAAGTGTCCGAGGTTCTAAGGAGCCAGGCTCTAAGGGCAGCACGCGAGAAGTTTGACGAGGAGACCATGAAAGACCGTACCATTCCGATGCGGTGGCTGCTGACCTGGAAGCCGTTGACCGAAACGCCATCTAAGGATGACAAGACGGTCCGAAAGGGCGGACTGCACAAGGCCAAGGCGCGGGTGATCTTGATCGGCTACAAGCACCCGGACCTCGAGAAGAGGAACCCAAGGACTGGAGCCAGGCTGTTGCAGACGGCTTCACCAACAATGAGCCGTTTGGGAAGAAACCTGCTCTTTCAGGGAGCGGCCCTGGATGGACACACCTTGGAGTGCGCAGATGCCAAGAGTGCCTTTCTACAGGCAGATGCGGACATCGGCACCAAGAGGCTTTTCACCAAGGGTGTTCCTGAAGTGGCAAGAGCCCTGGGCATTCAACCAGGAATGGCCATGGAAGTGGTCGGAGCCTTTTATGGCCTGACGAACGCTCCCAGAGTGTTCTGGCAGGACACGGACAACAAAGTCACCAAGATCGGAGGGCGACGCAATCGCGTCGACAAGTGCATTTGGGTCTTCAAGAGCAAAGAGACCGGCGAAATTATCGGTCGTGTGGGAACACACGTTGACGATTTCATTATCGCCGGCGACATGAATAACCCAGAGTGGCTGGCAATCCGGGAGGAATTGAAGAAAATGTACTCCTGGAGTCCTTGGAGGCAGGGTTCTTTTACCTTTGCCGGACTTGAGGTCCAGCAGCTCAAGGACTACTCCATCAAGGTGACGCAGGAGGCCTTCTCGAACTCCTTACAACCAGTGGTGATCTCTGAGGAGGCCAGCCGTGGTCAGGCAAACAAGCTGACGGACCAGGAGATCAGCCAGTGCCGTGGGTTGATCATGAAGGCCCAGTGGAGAGCTGTACAATCAGCCTTCCAGTACTGCGCCCGAGTGGGCATCGCAGCCTCAGCGCTGACGGACCCAAGGGTGGCTAACCTCACGGAGGCAAACAACATCCTGAAGGAGATGAAGAAGACAGCCAAGGAGGACCTGTACTTCCACGCGTTTAACTTCGGCAAAAACGCGGATGAGCGCCTCACTTGGAAGGATGTGGTTGCCGTCCACTTTGGGGACGCCGGGCACAAGAGCCGGGGTGATGGATCCTCTACAGGAGGACACATTACAGGCTTCGCCGAGCCAGGCATCCTATGGGGAGCTGAGGCAAGGATGTCAATCATCGACTGGAAGAGCTGGAAGCTAGACCGGCCTGCAAAAGGGACGAACTCTACGGATAGCCAGGGACTTTACGAAGCAGAAGACCGCGGTTGGCGGGTACGACTTCTGTGGGCGATTCTCAATGGAGAAGAGCTCAACCGCAACAATGCGGTGACTCTGGCAGCCTCGATGGAGTCACTTTTGGTGACTGATTCGAGGGGACTCTATGATGCTGTGAGCAGCTCCGAGTCTCCACTGTTAGGAATGGCAAACAGCCGTACCGGCGTGGACGTGGCTGCCATTCAGAAGGCACTCCGTGATGATGGCCGGTGCTATCTCACATGGGTTCCCTCCGACATCAACCTTTGCAGATGCATTGACGAAGGCAACTACGGACGCTTACAAGGTCGCGGCCACCTACCTGGAAAGGAAAACGTGGATCGTGCGCTTCAACCACGACTTCGTCAGTGCACGGAAGCAGCAAAGGCTGCGCCGAGCTAAAGAGCTGCAGGAGGCTGCGTCTTCGACACCGAGTTCTCCTGAGTGGGACCAGTACGTTGAAGAGCTTTTCGAGCCTTCGAACCCACAGCTCCGCGAGTGAAACATTAGCTCGCAAGGGGTTTTGTGGATGCAGCATAAGCTTGTGTAAGTGCTCCTTTAGGGGGCAACGTGCGCAGCTTTAGTGTTTCACTTGTGGCCCCTATGGCTCGAACCTAGGGGGCCCCTTTGAGCCGACCGCAGACACGGGTCGAAAAGAAACTCGAGCGATGCATCTATAGACACTTCTACGAACTGCCGCTGAAAAATCTCTACACCTGGTGATTGCAGTCCACAGCCATTGCCGAGTTACTAACTTGCTGTTATTCCACTCGTGTATGGTTATTCTGTCTCCTATTGAAGCCCCTTGACAAGAATGACAGGTGGCGCAATAGCCATATCTAAAATGATTATTTAAAATCTTTTCTTCTACTAGGTGTTTCGTTTTTTGCTTGATGTCTTGGATTACGTATTTGTCGTCTATATGGTGAAGGATTTTATACCTGATATTAACGTTAAATTTCATTCCTTCCTTTTGTAAATACCTACGGCATATCATTATCTCGCCTACTTCGTATTTAGACGTCTTGCCTAGCTTCTGCCTAACATCCTTGGCTACTGTATCGCATCGGGCATTCGTGTAGGCTATGTTGTTAGGGCTTGTTAGGGTGCTGTTGGTGAATTGGAAGTATTTGTGCGCTATGGTTTCAATAGGCAGTTTATTTAGCCAGAAGTCGGTGTAAAGACGGTTCATTGTTTCTCTGTCCTTCTCTCCTACCCTCTTACATATTTCTAGAAAGATGTCATTATTAAAAATAATATTTATACAGTTGTCGGCATAAGTATCGTAGGGTTGGGTGTTAGATAAATCATTTATCGGAGGAAGCTGTTTTGTATCGCCTGTTCCGATAATGATTTTTTGGTTTTTGTATCTGATGGTGAATTCCCTTATCCTGTTCAAGATGTAGGCGTTCGCCATATAAACCTCGTCAAAAACAATAACATTATATTCAGAATGGTCGTAGTAGGGAAGTTCGTCGCCCTTATGGACGGGAATACTGAAAAATCTGTTTAGGGTAACGGCTTCACATTGGATTTCTTTTATTTGGCGGTTGTTAGGAACAACGAAAAGAACGTTGTAATTTAGCTTCTGGAAGTGTTCGCAGATATAAGATTTTCCCGAGCCGGCGTATTTAGCGCGTATCATACAAGGGTTGTTTTCTACGATTTGATGACAGATGGCTTCGGTGTTCCATTCGTCGGCTATGTTTAGGCGGTTGTTGGTGTAGATGGGTATGTCGTGTTTTATGTTTAATCTGTATTTGTAAGGTTCAGTCGGAAAGTTGATTTCCTTGTCGGTTTCCGCTCTCCATCCTCCGACTTGGTTATTGAAGGTTATAAGCTTCTTGGCTTTTGTCAGGTGATTTTTATTGATGACGAAGGCGTCTGATTTTACACTGAATATTTCTATGTCGTTTTTGGTTAAGGTGTTGTAGGTGTCATACATATCATAATTATGATTTTGAAGAAGAAGCTCTTTGATATAGCGGAAGCCGTTAGTTAAAGTTCTGGATTCTGTGACGTTCAGTATATAATATTTATCAGTATATTTTGTGAAAATATTTTCTTCTTCATCGTCTTCCAGCGTGCATTCTTCAATAACAAACACCCTACCCTCATAAATGTTTCTGTAATATAGCGCCTCTTCTAGACTGTTGAAGGATATTGATTTTTGTTTCTTATTGGTTGATTTTTCCAATAATCCGAAATTTACATTTGCTATTGTCTTTTTGATTTTGGCGTCTTGTTTGGGCTTGTCGCTTATTTTGGTATTCCAGAGCTCGGATACGATATTTTCATAATCCACTTCGTGAATGTGTGATGGTTGCTTGTGGTAGTGTATTTTGAAGGTTTTTTCTTCAAGGCGTTTAAGAAACATTCCATATACCAGGTTGAACTTTTTGTTGAAAAAAAGGTTGCCAGTTGTTGCTTCAACGAGGTATAGGTTTAAACCTTGTAATTCTTCGTTTTGGTAAGGCTTCCATATATCAAACTCGGTAAAGACTGGTATATGTGTAATTTTGGAAAAGGCTTTCGTGAAAGCTTTTGTTCTGTCAATTTCTACGGTCTCGTTTGTAGAGTTGTTTTTGAAAAATCCTGTTGGCACTACGGTTTGGGCTTCGTCTAAAATGTCTATGTCGGTCTGACTGTAATAGGACTTGTGGGCATCGTTGAAGATTTTCTTGTTGAAGTTAAACATTTCCCTGTTCATATCGTTGAACAGCTTTTCGTTTTCTACCGATACGTCTTCGTCTATGCTGTGCGTTGATAAGTTTTGTAGCTTGATTGTGTAAGTGATTTCTTGCTTGGTGGCTTTTATCTTCCAATTTACTTTCAATTCTGTCATCGTTCCCGCTTGATATTTGATGAAAGGCTCGTAACCTGCCATTTTTAGTTCGTGGAAGAGTTTTACGAGGTCATTATCTTTATGAACCAGGGTATATTCTGCTTTTTCTGTGTATTTCAAAAGGTCGTTAGCTGTCTCTATCATATGGCATTCAGGGGGCTCTTCTCGGTCGCTTATGTAATAGTTGCTACTGATTTTAAGCTTGAAGTCTTCTCGGGTGGTGTTGATATTCATTGTCTTTTTGATGCTTTTCAGGTCTCTGTTTATGGTGTAAACGTGGTTGTTCTTGATGAGCCCGAAGAAGCCTTTCGTGTGTTTATGGTAGTCGGGCGGGTCAAAGGAATAAATAAGCTTCCCGTTGAAGTCAAAAAGACGTGCTGTTATGTTAAATGCCTTGAAGACGTTTTCCATTTGCGTCGTGGTTGCACCTTTGCTTTTAAACTCTTCTTCTGTTGTGTGTAGAAGTTCTATCATATGTTGTCGGGTCAGGGTTTTGGAATGCGAGCCCCGCTTGTCTGTCATAAGGTCGGGGTAGTGGTCTATAAGAGAATTTATCCAACATTCGTTTTTGGTGTAATGTTTTTTAGCGAGTGCTTCTTTTATTGTTGAGTAGCTGGGGTCAATCTCAGTTTCTATATATTTGTTGTATATGGATATGTTCGTAGCATCTCGTAGGTTTTGATTTTCTGGCGGTTGTGCTTCACCTTCTGCGATGTTAGCACTTTCAACTCTTATTGCATTTATATATTGATACATATCGCCCCGAGCCATCTCATTAAATTCTGGGTCTGTTCTTAATATTAACATAAGGCGCTTAAACAGGAATTTATCATATTCTTTTGTTATTCTCCGTTTTATGACGGTCTCTATAAAATCGTTTGCTTTTACTTGTGCTTCTCTCTGTGCTGGATTAAGTAGCGGATAATAATTTCTGCCATTCACTTCAAAAGCTCGTTTTTTTCCTGAACGGTTCTGTGTTGAAAGAAGCAAATATTTAATGGAATACGTTTTGCGATTTTTGAAAAGCTCCTTTGTTTTGGATACAACATTTCTTAAAGGTTGTTTTCCGAAAATGCGCCGTAAAACTTTTATCTGCTTTCCTTCCCTGGCTTTTTCGGCTGTTTTGTTCATTCGTTCCGATAACGGGGCTTTGGCGTCAAACTTTTCTATGGCTTTTTCAGCTTTTTTAATGCCTCTTGTTTTTTCTTTTTGAGTTCCCGTTGTCATATCGTTGAAGAGTTTTTCGGCGGTTTTGAAAATTGAAAGTTGGCGGTTCTCATATAAATCAACAATTTGATTAACTTTGGTAATGACGCTTTTAGGTGCTTTTGTTTCTATTAATCGTTGTCTCTTGTTATTTAGGTGTTTAATATTGTCACGGATAGCCTTTCTAGTCATATGACAATCTAGATTAAAATATATTGTTATTAATTCTTTAAATGGTTTCTCCTTATTCGCCTGTCTTGATTTTGGTTATGTTGGTCTTTGTTAAATGCCTTAAAGACAAAACGCTTATATATATAGTAAGTATAAAATGACTGGTATGAAGAAGCCCGAAGATTTAACATTGGACGAGGTTAGGGAGCAAATGGCGTTGTATCAAAGGTTGTATTATAAGTTGAGAATGCAAGACCCCGATTATGCAACGGCAGTAAGGGAAAGGAAGAGGTTAAGCAAGCAACGGATTAAGGAAGCAAAGGGGGGAAAGGTTAAAATGCTTCCTAACCAAAAATACAGTATGGAGAATATGGCGGTTATAACGGCGAGTAAGGTGGAGGAATGAGTTGAATAATATTTATACTGCTTATTATAAATATTATTGTTCGGAAGGGTGCTGATGCGAAAGCTGGATTTTGCAAGGATGTAAACTGGGGGGTGCGGGGGGTGAAAATTGGAGTTTACAAGGGTGTAAACTGGTGTTTACACGGGTGGGGTTTACAAGGGTGGAGTTTACAAGGGTGTAAACTGGCGTTTGGGGGGTAAAGGTGGAGTTTACAAGGGTGGGGTTTACAAGGGTGTAAACTGGCGTTGGGGGGGTAAAGGTGGAGTTTACAAGGGTGGGGTTTACAAGGGTGTAAACTGGCGTTGCGGGACGAAAACTGTCTAAGGACTACACACCATAATATAGTAGATTAATTATGGTATCGTTAAAAGAGCAAGGTAAAAGGGCCGGGATTATTTACATGATTAGGAACACAGAAAATAATGATAAATACATAGGTAGTACATTCAAAAGCTTGGAGGAAAGATTCGAAGACCATAAATGGCATTGTAACACGTCTAACTGTAAACTATACAAGGTAATGAGAGAGATAGGTAAAGATAAATTTTTCATCGAACAGTTAGAATTAGTAGAAGTGAATAACCGAAGGGAAATGACTGAAATTGAAGATAAATACATTGCAGAACTAGGAACATTAAATCAGAAATTTAACAATTCAAAAAACCACAAGTTAGCATTACCAACAATAAACCCTGAAACAGAAGCAGAGGACATTCTACAAACAATAAAACCTGAAACAGAAACAGAGGAAACTATACCAACGAGTGAAAGTGAAGATATTGAACGAAAAGAAGACCCGTTCTATGATGATGCACATAGCGATTTTGATGAAGCAGACATAATAAAATATGACGCTACAACTACTGAAATACAA